GACTCTTGTGCGGGCCGTCCTCTTCAAGGACTACCCTGCTACCCTTCTGCCGACAGAAAGGGCGAGTTCTGACCCGCCTGAGCCCAAAGCATCAGCGGTTTACTCCCAAGCACAAGTTTCCCAATCCTAAATCCAAAACTCCCTGAGCCTGAACTGGCCTCTAAGTTCTAAATATCAACTAACTCTGAACTTAACTAACCAATGTTCTATGTAAACTCAAAACCGCATACTCTGAATTGCAAACCAAAAACTCGAAACTTGCAGGGAGCAAATGGGGCCCCCGTGAGCTGACACTCAAGCTCCTGGCTCTAGGACGTCTTTTAGGGTTTAGGGTTTAGGGTTTAGGAGATGATGCAGCTTCTAGGTTGCGAATTTTGGTTTGGGATCTGGCTAGTTTCAGAGTGTTGGGTTTAGGGCATTAAAAATCCAAGGGGGTTGGGTTCTAGCCTCTGGCCGCATTCTGCCCTATCTACATGCGCGGCGTCGTTCTTAAGGTTCGAACCTGTGCAATGGCCGATTATGTATCTTGCGGACGCACTTGTAACTTTCGATAATTACTGTGTGGGTGGTTGTCAAAATTATGATCCCTTTTTGGGTCCCTATTATAATAATACGGCACCTAATATTTAGGGTACCCAAAAAGACTACCCTTGTAATTTTCGATAATTACTGTGTCGAAGGCCCTGCACTGGACTTGGTCGAGCCCATGTTTTCTAGAAGCGGGTTCTAGGATTTACAAGGGCTTGTACTAGCGGTTCAAAAGGTTTCCAAACAGGAACCATGGTATGCGAAAAAAAGCAAACACAAGTAAATGTCCCGATTCTTGAGCGCATTACTCTAGGTGCAGGTTTGTCTCTGGGTTGCGGAGCTGGGGTTGGGGGTGTTGGGGCTGTGGTCTTGGATTGGGGCGGTGCTTGTTTGGGCTTCAAAGAGCTCAAAGAATCACAATACATCACCCCAAACCCTAAACCGTCCTACTGCAAGTCTAACGGGGCTTTGGTGAGGAGTTTGTACTCCTACCCTCATATGAAGCTGTCCCTTGGCAAGGAGCTCTTGAGAGCCTCACAAGGCACGCCCTGGTAAATAAAGAAATGGTGCTGATGTGCTGCCTGCGCTGCTGCCGGTTTCCTTCTTGTCGGGCAAACCGGCTTAACCCTAAACCCTAAACCCTAACCACGCACCTAAACTAGACCCAGAACCGGTGCTCCTATACTTGTGCGTGCCCTTACAATGTAGGACAGCTGAAAGCCTCTGGTTTCGAATCTCAGTCTTGGGTTTAACATGTGTTTAGGGTTTGGGGTTTAGGGTTTAGGGCTTGGAGCTTAGGTTTAGGGCTGACGGCATAAGATCTCAGGATTTCACAGGAAAACAACAGCAGCCAGTGCTAACCACTCCACTCCCACAAAGGCCGTTCTTGGGGCTCCGACTCGACGGAAATGGCCCCGGTTCAGAGCCGGATTGGGCTCTGAAACCAACCGCAAAACCAGAACCCTCCACTCAAACGATGAACTCCAAGGCCCAAGACCCCGAACCTGCCCAGATGATGAAGTCATGACAGCATCTGTAGGTTTTTGAGCTCTTTGGGACTGTGACAGGTTTGGAGTTCAACTCCGAGGATCGAGCAGACGTGGGTATGAACCCCGATCGGAAAATCGCCGATCCACACATTCATACGACGAACTCACTGCAGTTTCAGATTGTGAACTCATCCATCGGCTCGTTCGGATGATCCGCGCGGCAGGTGCTAAGGGTGGAGTCTCCACCATCCGCACCCCATTTGCCACCGATGGCCTCCAGGTCTTCATCCTTCCCCTCTGCTGCCTGCTTCTTGGTTGAGGGTTCAAGGTTGAGGGTTGTGGGTTGAGAGCTTGAAGAGTTACTGGGTTGTAGTTTTTGGGGCTCTGACAAGTAGTCATGAATAGGTACTTCTATAGGAACCACAATGGGAAACTAAAAAGTTTCCCAAATTGCCACCTAGGTTAGGGTCGAGGAGTCTGGGTGTTGCAAGGATATTTGGCTTGCTTTGCTTTTGCAAGGCAGGAACGGTTTGGGAGTCAGACTAAATCTTGTGACGGGAAATCCGCCAATGATGCGACCTAAATCCCAGCCAAGAAATGATTTAGGGTGGTTTTTGGGATTCCGACCAGAAATACAACAGGTTCCGACAGGAAGCCGGTAACCTTTGATTAAGGCGTAGGATCTGAAAACTATCTGCGGCTGCTGCTACGACTCCTCCTCCACCTCCTGCTCCTGCTCCCATTGCTGCTGCTGCTGCTGCTGCTACGAAGACACGCCCGAAGACGAGGACGGGAACAGCAACGTCGACGACTCAGCAATAGAAGATCACATTATTAATCGTGATAACAATTAAGAGAATCATTCAAAGAAGGCCAATACCTGCAGGAATATCAGTAAGCACAGCAGCAGTAGGAGCACACAGCAGTACTGATGACACTGACCAAGCAACCGAAACGGCGCAAGAATAACAAAACTCCCCCTCAAACGCTCCAAGCGGCCCAGGGATCTTTGCCATCTTCCGGCAAATCCATTTCGTCCTCCTTGTCGCTCCCTGGCGTATCGCTCCTGAACTCCACCTGCAGCTTTTGAGCGGGTTTAGGGTTTAGGGCTTTGGGGTTTAAGGGTTTAGGGTTTAGGGGCTTAGGGGTTTAGGGTTTAGGATTTAGGGTTTCGGGTTTCCCTCTTTCCTCCGCCCGGTTAGGTGAGCTGGGAGTTTGGGCTCTGTAGTTTGGGGCTTTGGGGTCTTAGAGTTTAGGGGGAGCGGGGTTCGGGGCTTAAGGCTGTGGGTTTGGGCTTTCGGGGTTCCCACCTGCGCAAGCGACATATAAATGAAAACAATCAAGGTAGAGAATGGTCTTTGGGATTCTAGATAATATAGGGGCCTAAATAATTGCCTATACTATGCTTGCGGTTCCTTGCTATAGCTATAGTATAATGGGCCCAAAACCCGATTCGAATGGGTTGCAGGCTTCGGGTTTCGGAATCAGGGTTGAGAGCTCAGGGTTTAGCGCTCACGGTCAGGGTTCGAAGGTTCTGGACTCATGAATCCTCAACTCAACGAATCGTGGGAGTGTGGATCAACATAAACCGTGAACACCGAACCCTTACCCGACTTTAAATCATGCTCCCAGACTTCACCCCAAGGTTTAGGGCTTACGGTTTAGGGTTCACCCCAAACCCTTCACCCCTAACTTTCCAAATCCTAAACACTGTTCATTCCTCTCCGGCGCACCTCGGTAAAGGCCTTCCCAAGCCCAAAGACGATACCGAGCACCGTCCCGACAATGATGGTCACGGACATGAGATAACCTTAGGAGCTAAGAAGCACCCTAACTGAAACTCGTTTGATTTAGGTGGTGTCGGATTCAATAGTTCATGTACAGGTGCTGCTTCGTCGGCTAATGTTCTTTTGGATTTGAGAATTAGGGCTCGAGCCGTGCCCTTGCAATTTTTGGCTGTTTTCGGGTGTGGGTTTTAAGGTCAGGGCTTCTCTTTGATTCGGATCCCCAAGATCATTCAGCGCACAGACTTCCAGAAGTCTACTCTTTGGGCCGCGGTTGCGAACAAAGACTTACAATTGTTGTTTAGTTCTTCTTGATGGGCTGAAATCTTAGGGCTTTTCAAAAGGCGCTCTAATTATTAAGGCCCTTACGATAATTACCCTAAACCCTTGACCCTAAAACCTAAACCCTTAAATCTAAATGCTAAATCCTAGACCAAGCAAGGCCGCCCGCCCCCTCTCCCCACAGCCGGCGAAATGGCGACCCGGCGGCTCAGGGGCGATGAAGGCCCGAAATCCAAGCCCAGGCTTCCCTCCGAAAGTTGGTAGCTGCTGTTGGGTGCTTTATTTTGGGCGCTCAGGGGTTTAGGGGTTTGGGGTGTGGGGTTTAGGGGTCTAGGGTTTAGGGGTGTAGGGCTTGCAGGGTTTAGGGTTAAGGGGTAAGGGTTTGGATGCTACGGTTCAGGGTCTTCGGGGTTTTAGGGTGTAAGGTTGCGGCGGCATAGGGTGTGACGGCCTTCTCTCCCGTTGCTTTTGAAACTTCTCCTAGTTGGGGTTTGCGTTTCGCGGTTTCGAAACTTTCGATGCTGGAAAGAGCTGGTTTCCTAGGTTTCTGGAAGCTTGAAAACACTTGGAGCCCTCAACCTACGGTTGATGATATAAATCCTGCATGACCCATAATAAGCAACATACCATAAATCCCATAGTTTAGGGTCCTTAAGGTAATGCAGGATTTATACTGCTATTGATGATGTAAATCCTGCATTACCTTAAGGACCCTAAACTGTGGGAATTATGGTATATTACTTGTTATGGGTCATGCAGGATTTATATCATCAACCGTAGGTTTCGGTGGTTTTTGTTCTCAGAGGTTGGCCTTGAGGGGGGGGGTTGGAGCGTAGGGGTGGATGGGCTGCCGAAGCCCCGAAACCCACAGCCAGGGCGATCCTTCTTAGAAACATATGGGGGTTTCCGAAGATTAGGGGTACCTTATTTTGGGGTCCCTTTTTAAAAGGATCCTATTATTTAGGGTGCTATATTAGGGTCCCTTATTTTCGGAAACTCCCAAAAGGCGGTTGTCAAAACTAGGGTCCCTTTTTGGGTCCTTATTATAACACGGCACCTAATATTTAGGGTATGCAAAAAGGGGCCATAATTTTGACAACCACGCATATTATATAATATAGGTGCTATAGGGGCCTTAAGAATTAGAATAGGGCTTTGGGATACTAAAGAAGGAACTTCCAAAATAGTATGGGTGATTATGAAGGCCCCTAGATTGGACAGAGCCCGGCACCTTAGCCGCTCAAGAAGCATCCCTTGAAGAAGGAACTTTCACGTCTCGGTCTCCTCAAACGGTTGATGATATAAATCCTGCAACACCCATAATAAGGAATGCACCGTGATTTCCATAGTCTAGGGTCCTTAAGGTAATGCAGGATTTATATCATCAACAGAAGCACTTGGGGAGAAACCAGAGGGGCCCTGAGCCCTTGGCTATGAACTACCTATAGTCTCCATTGTAGTTCCTTCTTTTGGTTTAACCAATTTAGATTAAGGCATTATTAAGGATCCTAAAAGGTAACCCCAAAAAGGAACTACAATGGAGACTATAGGTACACCTTCACTTGCCTTTGGTTAGTAGGGAATGGAGGAATGGGGTACAATTATAACTACTATTACTACCATTCCTCCATTCCCTACTAACCAAAGGTAAGTTCAAGCATACTGCTAAACCACCTTTTTGGTTTCAGGAATTGTCGTTAATTAAGGAGTATTGGGGCTCTCCGGAAAATCTAAACACTAATCATTACCCTACACCTTAAACCCTGACCACTCAAGAAGGAAGCAGCTACACATGGCCAGCCCGGCCCTGCCGAGCCCGAACCGTATGCAATTTAGGGCTTGGGGTCTACAAACTCTAACACCCTTATACCCTAAAACCTTAATTCCAGGCCCTAACCCTCCAACCACAAAAACCCTACATAGCCCCAAAGCGTAACGCCTAAACCCTAAACCCCCACACAGCCATCGCCCTCAACCCTAAACCCTAAACCTCGAATCCCTAAGCCCTTACAGGATCCTTCATGGGCGCCCCAAAGATCCCATTTAAAGGAACCCCAAAACCCTCGAATCCCTAAACCACGGAGACCTCTTCTGTATGCTTCGCAGTGAAGAGGAGGAGGCCAAAGACCAAACTCGCCGAATTCAGCTTTGCTGGGGGGGGGGGGGGGGGGGGGGGGGGTTTAGGGCTCCTGTAAAGGGAACTTTAGGGCTCCTGGAAAGGGATCTATAAGGTCCTAAACCCTAAACCCTAAACCGGGTTCCTTTAAGGGATCCTTTCAGGGATTACTAGGACGGGTTTAGGGTTTAGGAAAAGGGGTTTAGGGTTTGGGAAGTTAGGGTTTAAGGGTCTCGGGTTCTAGCGTTGGGGGTCTAGGTGTTTAAGGTTTAGGGTTCAGGGTTAGAGCTTAAGGCTCAGGGTTTCATGGGAGCAAGGGTTAAGGCTCTATAGTAGGGTTTAGGACTTGCACATGTATTGGCTTTGCGGTCTTCTTGTCGGTGCAGAGTCTCTTCCTTCATTGCCTCAACTCTTGTTGGGGCTTTTTTCAAGGCGAGAGAGAGGGAGAGGTAGAGAGAGAGAGATGCATGCTCATAGCGAGCACTGTGTTGTGCTTAAGTGTTTAAGGTTTAGGGCTTCAGAGTGCAAAAACCCGATTTTCAAAAACCACCAAGGTAACAATCACAAAGCAGAAGTGGTGATGGTATGGAAGTTTCAGAACTGAGGAGCCCGGGTACACCCTAAATAGCAGGATCCTGATTACAAGGACCGCCAAAAGCCACAGCTCCTTTAAGCACTAAACCCTGAGAACCGTTCCACAACACCCTGTTGGGGTTCCAGTACGGTAAACATGCGAAATGGCTGCCAAGGGGAACCAAGAAAAAGGTGCCCCGAAGCTTCCGAAACTCCCTTAAAGAACTGAAGGTCTTTTCCTAATTCGAAAAGCTACCCATTAAAGGAATACGGCTTCCGGGTTGAAGGCTCTTGCGGGGAAGGAGTGCCTTGGGTTCCCGGGCGTTTTGGGGAGCCACCGGCGGAGATGCCCAGACTCTTCAAAACCCCTTCTTAATTGCGGAATATTGAATACACCTTTAATCATAGCAGGTATCTTCCATATCTTGGGTTTCAGGAGTGTGTGTGACACGATTACACCATAGACCAGATTTGAACGAACCCCGCAGCTCCCCCAAACACCAATCTGCCTCAGGAAGAGCATCCGTTGAGCCGTCTCGGCCGCTGCGCCCGCGCTGGCATTGGCGTAGGGCTGATAGTCGCGCCTCGCGACGAGTGTGAGAATGTAAAGTTTAAGGCTTACGTGTTTAGGGGTCAGGGTCACGGCAAGACACGGTTTGATCGATGGTGTGGATTATCATTGTGGAATGGTTATGATCATTGCGATGACTTGATGGTGCAATACGCCAAGAACCCCAAACGCAAATGCCGCAATCCCCAGCCCCTAGAATCCCTAGAACCCATACGAGCCCCGTCAAATGCGCTCCCCCTCAAGCCCTGCAGCCTACTGTAGGGGCCTAAATAATTACATATACTATTTTGGGTGTCCCTTAATAGTATTAGATGATAATATACTCCGAAACCCTATTCTAATAATTAAGGCCCCTATATTACAAGCCTAAACCTGCCCCTTGTAGATCCTTCAACGGAACCCCTTACTAGATCCCTTAAAGGAACGAACGCTTAAAGGATGCCTTATAGCATAGATCCCGCAAAGGAGCCCTTCAAGGAACTGCTAAAGGAGCTCTTAAAGGAACTCGTAAAGGAACCCTCGAAGGAACCCTTCGAGGAGGAACCTGAAGGGGTTTAAGCCCAGCTGCAGAATCTTCAGCGTCAGCTGACAAGCAAGGATGCCGATGACGATTTGCATCCAAGATCCTGGGATGCAAAACCTGGGCTCGTTTAGGGTTCCGGGTTCAGGGTGTAGCTCGTGTTTAGTTATTTTCGTGAACTTGGTTCAAGTTACCATAGAACATCACACCCTAAACCTAAAACGCCTAAAACCATACAACCCTACTCACCATGGTTAGTTACAGAAGCTATGTACTTCCCTATGAAACCCTTCGATGCCACTCTGAAATCGTAAAGATGGTGAATTAAACCAAACGAAGCCCTTTAACGGTTTAGGGTTTAGGGTTTAGGGTTTAACAAGAAGAGAAACGCCAAGACGGCGCTGAGGAAGACTTTCCGCATGCTCTCAAAGACCTGACGAATCAGGATTGCGGCTCGATAAGGGTTGTACTATAAAAGTATACACCGGGTTTAGGGTTTGGGGTTTAGGGATCAGGATTTAGACAAGCAGGGTTTGCATTCGTGGATTAGGGTTGAGCAAGTTTGCGTCTTTCATCTGACTGGAGTTGTCACTGCCTCGTTACTGGTGCTGGCACTATTTATACTACGCTTGCCCAATGCTTGCATGCCAAAGCAAACGTCATCAGATTAATTGCAGGTATTCGCAACTCATGGCAAACTTCTGCAACCAGGGTGATTCTGAAAACGTTGGTCAAAATACAGAATATGATGTTGGTTGACGATGATCATACTGTGGCACTTACGCAGGAGATGACTACAATAACGAGGACGAAGACAACAATACAATACGACACTGGTGATGGCTGTAAAAACGCTACTGCTGGTGATGACGATGATGACGATTCTGGTGGTGATGATGATGACGATGATGATGATGACGATGATGATGATGCTGATGATGCTGATGATGCTGCTGATGATGATGACGTGTGATGTTGATGATGACGATGATGATGGTGATGATGATGGTGGTGAGTATGATGATGCTGCTGATGATGATGGTGATGGTGAAGCTCCAGCAGAACACGTACATCATTCCTCTGGACCGACCTTAGAAGAGGACCCTCATTTAGAGGACCCCCGGACCCCGCTCACAAACCCTGCCATCGAAACCCTGGTAAAGCCTCTGTAAAGCTCTACCGTATAAATCCCTTACACACCTCTGCTCACAATCCTGCGAAAAAATACAGCGCGCATACAGCCCCTTTTAAAGCCCCAACACTGCACCGCCCTCGAATTCCAGGAGTTGAGCGCCTCGAAATACAAGCAGCTCGGCTTGTAGTCGTCGTAGATGAAGATGAGGTGCCTTTCGGTTCACCAAAACAAAGCAAACCCAATTTAGAGAAGGTCTGAAAATGGCCATAGAGGCATTAGGTTTTGTTCTTGCCCCAGAACCACCCCTCTTCTTAAACCCTTCCGACATGTCGGCTGTGACATCGCCGTTTAGAGGACCGGATGGCTCTCGGGATGTTGGGCCTTTCTTTAGGGCCCGGGGGGCTGAGGCTCTCCTCACAATGACTCTCCAAGCACGTTGAGCTTCGTTTAGGGTGTTAGTTCAGGGATATTCTGCTTTACTGGGTTCTTGTTAAGGAACTTAATTTAAGTTACCATAATAAGGAAACCCTATTATTTACGATAGATCCCTATTATGGTAACTTAAATTAAGTTCCTTAACAAGAACCCAACCCTAAATCCTAAACCCTAAACCCTAAGATATTCTGCTTTAGGGTTTAGGGAGCAGTGCGCGGTTTTCGGGCTTGTGATTCAGGGTTTAGGGCCCAGAGGGCTTCGGGGCTAAGATTTAGGCTTCAGGGCTTGGTGGATAGGGTTCCCTAAACCTTAAGCCCTAAACCTTAACATAGGATCCTTAATGTTTAGAATAAGGTTTTGAGCTACTTTTGAAAAGGAAGCCCCAAAATAGTATGGGTAATTATTATGTAGGCCCCCACATTATAGAACCCTACTATAGACCCTTGTAGGGCCCTTGAAGGTAGTAGCCTTTAAAGGAGCAGAACCCCTTTTGAAACCCTGGACCCCAAAGCCTTAAACCCTTCTTCCCTCAGAGGAACCCTGTAGACCCCCTTTAAAGGAACCCTTAAAGGAACCCTCTAGATTACATGGACCCTTTAAAGGAGCCCAGGGGGCTGGATTGAGGAGTCGTCCTCCCGCTTCTTCATCCCGGCCCACTCCTTGCTGTCCTTATTCAGGAATCCTGGGCTCAGACGTGGGGCCTTTTTGGGTTCCTTTAAAGGGCTACTATAAGAGTACTATAAGGGTTCCCTTTAAAGGGCTCAATAAGGCTTTAGAGTTTCGGAAAATTAGAGGGTACCTTCTTTTGGTGCCCTTATAATAAGGATCCTACTACTTAGGGTGCTATATTAGGGTCCTCAATTTTCGGAAACTCCCACATAGACTTAGTTATTCCGTAGACTCGACGGCTCAGCGTTTAGGGTTCCATGAATACCAAATCCAACGCATTCTCCGGGGTTGCCTGTTTCAAGTTATGCCAAGATGTAGCCCCGAGATGTAAACCAGACACCCAAGCGCCAGGACGCCGTGAAGCCGTGTGCATCCCAAACCCCTATAAGCCAACACCCCTCACCCACCACCCGCTAGCGCGAATCAGGGGCCTTAATAATTAGAATAGGGTTGCGGCGCCCATTATACTATACTTATAACCAGGAACCCTAGGAATGTTGGTAATTATTCAAGCCCCTATAGTAAATCATCCTTCGTGCTTGGGGGTGTGGAGTTGGATCAACTCGGTGTGATGCTTTCGGGATCGGATGGACTCGCAGCAGCAGAAGAGCATAGCCCTAAACGCTAAGCCCCGAATATAGGGGAATTACTCATTAGAACAGGGTTTTGGGCTACATTATACTAATATTTCAATAAGGAACCCTCAAAATAGTATTGGAAATTATTTAGGCCCCTATATTAAACCCTAAACCCATATATAAACGCCTAAACCCTGAACCATGAGGACATGCAAGGTGGGGTCTGTGAGGAGGGCGCCCTGCCCAGTGCGAACCGAGGCTCCCCGATACTGCCGGCCGGTTTCCAAGGAAACGAGCTTGAGCACCTCCGTTGTATCATCTTTTATGAGGGTCCTACAGGGTTTAGGGATTGAGGCCACTTTGTTTTGGGCTTGGGGTTTTGGGTTCAGGATTGGGGTGTAGGGTTTAAGGATTCATAGTTTAGGATCGTATGAGGCTCTTCTAAGAGTTCTGGCAGGCTTTGTAACGGTCCTATAGGGCTTTTGTAGGCTTTCGGGTTTGTGGGATTTAGGGTTTAGCTGCTGCTTCCTATGGGCATGGAAGGAGTCGCTCTACGCAAGGCTTTATTTATCGTTTCGGTTTCAGGGGGGGCAAGGGTTTAGGGCTGAATACAGGGGCCTTCATAATTACCTCTGCTCTTTGGTGGTTCCTTGTTATGGTTCTAGTATAATGGGGCCCAAAGCCCTATTCTAATTATTCAGGCCCCTCTGTTAGGGTTCAGGGAGGGGCGGGGAGGCCCCCTAAACCCCTAAACCCCTAAACCCCTAAACCCTAAACCCCTAAACCCTCAATCCTAAACCCCTAAACCCCTAAACCCCTAAACCCCCAAACCCCTAAACCCCCAAACCCCTCAACCCCTAAACCCCCAAACCCCCAAATCCCTAAACCCCTGGATCTCAGGATTCTAGGGGGCTTCGGGGATGGCAGGGAGCCTAGGTCCCCCCCGGAGTTGGAATTGCCTTAGGCTGGAGTACTGCCTTGAGGTCCTCATGAGACCAGACTCTTCTTCGAAAAAAGTCGAGGTCGGGAAGTCCTAAACCCTACCTTAACCCCACGTAACCTACCTTTTGAAGGACTTATATAAAGAAATCATATTAGGGAACCCTAAAAAGGTAGGTTCCTTAGGGTCCAGGTAAACTCTAAACTCTAAACTCAAGCCATACTTCGAAAAAGCACAAATCGATGGCCTAAGGTGGGACCTGCATAAGCAGACCAGGTTTCTGGGAGGCATTACACTACAAATACGCTTGGCGAAGCCTCGGGAAAACTATATCTAAAGGGTTTAGGATTTAGGGTAGTCCGGCCCTACACTAGGATGTAAGGTGTGAAACGGTTCAGGTTTGGGGGAGGGTTTGGGGCGTAAGGTGTCAGGGGTTCTGCTTCGAGTTCGGCGGAGACCTGAACTCAAGTGCCTTCAAGCTGCTGGAACTCAACCCTTTTCCACGTGAAAAACCCCAAGCCCAAAAACTTGAACCAGAAATAACACACACACACACAAACGCTAAATTCTAAACCCTAAACCCTGACTCCTCCATCCCTAAACAGTGACTCCTTATCATACATGTTAGTGCGTCGTGATGTGTCGAATATAGTGTATAATATAGGATATTCATTAGAGTACACCCATAACGATCCCCAAGTATACACCCACCAATGTTCAAAAGGAGCCCTCAAACACTTGCAGAAAGGCTAATCTTTACAGAGAGGGCAGAATCTTAGTCTTAAACCTACTTCATGCGAGCCATGCTAAACCCGTTTGTAACGCTTGACTCTCGTAGATCCCTTACAGTAAGATTTCAGGCTATGAGGATGACTCTACAAGTTGTAGATCATATACTGACCCTACACCCCCAAACTCAACCGCAAGCCCGAAACCCCTAAACCCCTAAACCCCTAAATCCTTAAACCCTCAACCCTAAAACCCAAAACCCTAAACTCTAAACCCTAAACTCTAAACCCTAAAACCCAAAACCCTCACCCCTAAACCCATGTACTGTCCGAGCCACCGGATCGGAGTTCTCTGAAGCTGGCGCATTTGTCTCCAGCTGGTTACCTGGGTTAAGGGTTTGGGGTTTTGGGTTGTGGGTCTAGGGTGGTTTAGGGTTTAGGGTTTGGGGGTTTAGGGTTTTGGGTTTAGGGTTTTTGTTCGGGTTTAGGGTGGTTTAGGGTTTAGGGGGTTGTAGTTTTGGGGCCCATAAGAGTATCTATGGAAGAAAGGAAATTTCAATGCTTCCCAAAGTGCCACTGAGCTGATGACCCAGGAGACTGCCCTTGGTCTTCGAGAGCGTCTTCTGCAGCTTTGCTCGCATGCCTCGCAGGCTTTCAAAGATTGAGGGGATTAAGGTTTAGGGTTTAGGAACTTAGGATTGAGGGCTTAAGGGGTTTAAGACTTCAGGGCCTAAGGGGTTTAAGGGCTTTAGGGGGCTTAAGCAGTTTGGGGTTTAAGACGTCAAGGCTACGAGGGTTAAGGGGCTTAAGGGGTTTACAGAGGGAGATCAAGGGGCTGGCGGTACGAGCTAGGTTGCCGGGGGCGGCTTACAGGGAACTCCAGAAAGTTGGAATATGGTTTCATGGTAGGATACCCTATAATTTACCATAGAAGGGTTAGGATAATCATATTCCAACTTTCTGGCTTTTACCTTAAGGGTTTAGGGTCAAGCCGGAATCACCAACTTGGGAGTTTCCGAAAGTAGGGCACCTAATATAGTACCCTAAAAGCAGAGTCGCCCCTCTCTTCCAAGGCCTCGTTAGGATCCCTGTTCTAATCCCGTTTAAGGTACCAGGGTATATTATAGCTGGGGTCTACATGACCTTGCAAACCCCTACGCATGTTGTAGAGGCCCGAATCATAAGAACTTGGTTTTGAGGGTACATTGGAGTAAAAGTATAGTGGTAAATGCAGGAACCCTGGAGTATTCTTGCTAATTCTTCAGGCATGTACCTTGTGCCGATACCTGGAGGGTTCGGTGTAGGAGTCCAGAACTAGGCATCCTAACGGCACCGATCCCACTGCTCAGGCACCGTATGGTTTGAGGTTTAGGATTCTTCTTAAGGATCCTTTGCCTTCATTGGGTCTAGTAAAGCAAGGATTAGGGTTCGGGGTTGCGGGATCCCAATAATGGTAAGGATCCTGCCGCTCAGGGTCTTCAATTCTTCTGACACTGCGACAGGTATACCGCCGACCCTGAACCATCAACCCTAAACCCTAAACCCTAAACCCTAAACCCCTAAACCCCTAAACCCCTAAACCCCTAAACCCCTAAACCTCTAAACCCCTAACCCCTAAACCCCTAAACCCCTAAACCCCTAAACCCTAAACCTTAAACCCCTAAACCCCTAAACCCCTAAACCCCTAAACCCTAAACCTTAAGCCCTTTAAAGAGGAGCTCTTTAAGGAAGCATACAAAAAACCCTAAACCCTTAAAAAAGGGAGCTCTTTTTAAAGGAACCCTACAAAGAAGACGGGCAGCTCATCCCAGCGGACAATTGCTCCCATTCCTTGGCTGACTTCTGAACCCCTCCTAAAAGTTAAACTTTTAGCCTCCTTATTGAGTTCATATAGAAACCCAACCAGAAGAACGCCAAGATTCTGTTTGGGCCCGGGACATCTCGTAGAAGTTCACCGGGGGAGCAATGGCCCCTGATGGCGGCTCATGGTTAAAGCGAACTCCAGAAAGTTGGAATATGGTTTCAGGGTAGGATACCCTACAATTTACCATAAAGGGCTTAGGATAATCATATTCCAACTTTCTGGCTTTTACTTTAAGGGTCAGGGTCTAGGGTCTAGGGTTTAGGGTCTTTTGGCCAAGGGTCAGGGTCTAGGGTCTAGGGTTTCGGGTTTCGGGTTTCGGGTTTAGGGTTTAGGGTTTCGGGTTTAGGGTTTCGGGTTTTGGAGTTCGGGTTTAGGGTTTAGGAGTTGGAGTTTGGAGTCCAGGGTTTAAGGCTTAAGGTATTCTAAAGGTTTCGTGCGGCTCAGGGGCTGCGGTTTGGGCTTGGGGTCTTCCGGCTCGTAGGACTGCATTTAGGCTTCGGGCATTACAGTTTAAGGTTTAGGGCTTTGGGTTTTGAGGTTCTGGGTCATTGTTGCTACTGTCGTGCAGGTATCAAGATGACTTCCTGTGTTACTCTCACTGGGTTTCGGGCTCTAAACCCCTTAATCCCTTAACCCTAATCCTAAACCCTAAGACCTAAACCCTAAACCTCAATCCTAAACCCTAAAACCTAAACCCTAAGCCCCAATCCTAAACCCTAAAACCTAAACTCTAAATGAACCCTAAGCCGGATCCCTAAAGCGAAAGGCGGCTGATGGGTTTCAGCCCTGGAGGGGATTCCCACCCCATGCATCCGATGCTTTCAGAACCCCAAGGCCGGAAATCCAGCACTTAAAAGGGTTTAGGGTTTAGGGGTTTAGGGTTTAGGGTTTAGGGTTTAGGGGTTAGGGGTTAGGGTTTAGGGTTTAGGGTTTAGGGGTTTGGGGTTTAGGGTTTACGGCTGAGGGCCTGAAATCCAGCACTTAAACCCCTATCCTGCACCCTGGAGCACAAGCACAAGGTGCTTCTGTCCAGCACAACTCTCTTCGAGTTGCTCGCGATTCAGCGTACCAAGTTCAGAACACTGGGCTTAGAGTTCGGGCTAATGTAGGGGCCTTAATAATTCGACTAGGGCTTTGGGACCCATTATAGTACTCCTATAACAAGGAACCCCCCAAAAATATAGTTTAGGTAATTATTAAGGCATTAAGGCCCCCATTTACCGTTCTGGGTGGAAGGAGTCGTGCCTCTGTGTCGGTAGAGGCTGGCCGCCATCCAAATGGGAATGCCAATCGGGAAGACAACAGCCATGACCTAGGGGTTGAGGGTTAGCACTACCATCTCAAGCCCAAAACCGTACTAAATCCTGAACCTTGAACCGTTCTTGCATAGCTCTGAACCCTAAACTCCAAACCCTAACCGTTGTGTCTACGATGCTAAAGCCTAAGGGTTTAAGACGAACAACATGCCACTGCAAGAACGAAGGCCGTTAGGGATGCTTGCACGGATAGCAACACGAGCATATAAGAGGAAGAAGCTGCATGCCGACTACACTCCCGATCCTCGTAACTGAATCATATGGGTAGTTCTCTAAATGAGGGTCCCATTTTGGGTGATCCTTACTATAAGAGTGCCTTATTACATAAGGGACCCACAAAGGAACCCCAATTTAGAGAACTACCCATGCGGTTGATGATATAAATCCTGCATTAGCTTAAGGACCCTAAACTATTGGAATTATGGTATATTCCTTCTTATGGGTAATGCAGGACTTATATCCCTAACCCCTAAAAACCCTATAGAGCTCTTAAAGGAAGCCCTTAAACCGGTACAACTAGGACCATTAAAGTCCAGCCGAAAGCACATTGGCTTCGGCCGTGCTACTGTCGTGCTAGTCGAACACCTAGCCTCAGGCAAGCATGCAGTCTCCCAGACCGCTGTCGCCGTTAAAGGTACCCTTATAGGTCCCTTTAAAGGAACCCAGGATTTAGATCATCGACCGTATCACTCGTAGCAAGACACTCAGCCCATGGTTTCTGCCTCAAGGCGATCTTCGTGGTTTTGGGAAGAGGGCGTAGGGTTTAGAGGGCTTACGGCTTAGAGGGTTTAGGGCTTAGAGGGTTTAGGGCTTAGAGGGTTTAGGGCTTAGAGGGTTTAGGGTTTAGGGGGTTTAGGGCTTAGAGGGTTTAGGGTTTAGGGGGTTTAGGGCTTAGAGGGTTTAGGGCTTAGAGGGTTTAGGGCTTAGAGGGTTTAGGGCTTAGAGGGTTTAGGGCTTAGAGGGTTTAGGGCTTTTTAGGGGGGGGTTTAGGGCTTAGAGGGTTTAGGGTTTAGGGGGTTTAGGGCTTAGAGGGTTTAGGGCTTAGAGGGTTTAGGGCTTAGAGGGTTTAGGGTTTAGGGGGTTTAGGGCTTAGGGGGTTTAAGGGGGTTTGGGGTTTAGGGTTTAGGGGGTTTAGGGGGTTTTGGGTGTAGGGGGTTCAGGGCTTGAACCTGGAAGATCCCCCAACATATTGCCGAGCAGCGCCAGCATAGATCTGGAAGTTGCGATGGGTGTCCTTCATCCAGCCGAATGCCGGAGCCCAAAGAGCGTACTGGCTTAGGGTATTGGTGACTTGTTTTCAAGTTGAGGGTGGAAGGTGTAGAAGCCTGAGTTGTTAGACTGGGGGGTTGGGCTTTCTGTTTATGAGGCTACCGTCCCAAAGCCCTACACACCGAACCCGGAGCCCTCAACAAGGCGCCCCTCCCCTTCCAAACCCCAAGAAGAAGCAGAGCACTCCCTACAAAACCCGAACACAAGCCTTTCAAAGACCCCTCGCAACCCTCCACGCCCTCTAAAAAAACCCTAAACCCCTAAACCCTAAACCCCAAACCCCTAAACCCCTACACCCTAAACCCGGAGCTCCGTGTCGCAGTCGAGTCGAAGATCCGAGGCAAGGAAGTTCCGAGGATTCCCAGAGCCTTCGTTGTTAAAAAAAAAATGGTTTAAAAAAGACCTTTGCACCTTTTTCAAAACACAAAAAGCTCGGTGAAGCTTCAACTTTGAGGTTTAGGGCTTAGGGTTTTGGGTTTAGGGCGGGTGCTTGCAAGGTTACGGGGTGTTAAGACTTTGGGGTTTAGGGGGTGTGGGGTTAGTCGGTTGGGGTTTAGGGCTGGCACAGGCCTTAGCGGTTTACAATACGGGTTCTAAGCAATAACGGTCGAACCGCATACGACGGAACCTCATCGTGTAACGCTCCTTATAATATTCTACTGTTTTCAATCATGTATGTCCTCAAAGAGGTGGATTTTGTAAGGCGTTAAAGCTCCATGTGTGCAGGGCCTTCGGCGTTTGGATTCACGCTTCCTTCAAAAGGTTCCTTTACAAGTTCGATACATAACATTCAATTTGAGAGGCTCGCGATCAAAAAGCAGAAACACAACAAGGCAGCTTACTTCTACATGCCTGAACCATAAACCCCTAAACCCTGAACCCTGAACGTCGGGGGCGGGTTCGATTATTCAGCTCCTTCAAGGGATCTAGGAATCTAGGTAAGCTCTGAGGCGTTAGGGCTTCAGGTTTAGGTTTGCCGGTTTAGGGCTTGGGAGCTACGGTTTAGGGCTTTAGGGCTTCGGGTCAGGGGTTAGGGTTCGAGTTAAAATTCAGGGTTTAGGGGATATGCAGACTAAGGATTTTTAAAGTTTCCAGACTACAGAACCCTCAGGGGGTTTCATTACAAAGTACTCAGATCCCCATGCTACAACCTAAACTCTAACGCCCTCGCCCCCATAAAGACGCTTCGCGCTTCGGCTTGTGGGTTATAATTACGGGCTAGAGGAGATCAACGGCTTGGTGCATCGCCTACAGCTCTACACTCTCACGCCTCAAGCCCTACGCGAAGTTGAACCCTAAACCCAAACCCTTCCTTACCCTAAGGCTTGGGTTTTGAAGATTTGTCGATGCTGGATTTACGGTATGAAGAATTCTTGGCGTGGGCCAGAGATGCTGATGAGAAGCTCAACCAATAGGGGTTCCTGTAAGGGTTCCATGAAGGGTTCCTTTAAGGGCTATTATAAGGGTACCATGAAGGTTTAGGGTTTAAGTACCCGCTCCCTCCACCCCCCTACCCCTAAACCCTTGGACCCTGGAAGCAGAAGAGTACAGAAAAACTAAAGAGCGACCACCAAAAACCCGAATTGCAAACACAATTTAAGGGAGATCAATGCTACCCCATAATTTGGCCTGTTGCCCAGACCGACCCTGATTCTCTTTGTACACCAATTGCAGATTGCACTGAAACCTTCAATTCATCTGGAACCCAAGCCCTAAAGCCTAAACCCTAAACCCAACTACTCAACGCCCCGCCCAGCCTGCATCAAAAGCTTCGCATTTGAAGGTGTCGAAGATGGTGTTCCTTACATGTGGGAGTTTCCGAAAATAGGGACCCTAATATAGAATATAAGGCTCCTTTAAAGGGATCTATAAGGGCTCCTTTAAGGGCTTCTATAATGGTTTAGGGTTTAGGGTTGGGAGTTTCCGAAAACAGGGGACCCTAAATATAGTACCCTAAATAGTAGGAACCTTATTATAAGGATCCCAATAGAGGGTACCCCTAATTTTCAGGAACTCCGATGTCGCTTTCGTGGGATTGCTTGAACTTGTATGCAGGTCCGTGTTAGTCGCCGAAGAGAGTACTAAGGTGAAGTAGACCCTAAACCCTAAGGCCAATAGATCCCTTTAAGAAGCCCTATAGATCCCTATAAGGAGCCCTTTACGAACCCTTACTAAGTCCCCTGGGCCTCTAAGTTTCTGGTGTGCAATAAGTGCGGGTGAATACGAGTTGAGGTTTCAGGCACCTTACTGAGCCGAGCTCCGGCTTCGCAGTGGTTTAGGGTGTAGGGTTTAGAGTTTTAGGGTTTGGGGGTTTAGGGCTTAGGGTTTGGGGTTTAGGGATTTCATCTTGCTGTGCTTAAACAGCCTCGCGCCTAGGACTTCGGATTTCGGGAACGCCCAAAGCCCTTGGACAAAGGGGCTTTGGGCTTTGGATTTGGGGTTTACGGTCCTTGGTTCTCGGATTGGACCTTAGATCAATGAAGGCTCGACGTGACCGGCAGGGAAAGGTATGCCACAAGCAGGGCAGCACCGATGTATCCTGACACCGTCTCTCCGCGATCCTCTGCCTTCCGCAGGAGGATTTGGGCTTCAGAGGTTCAAGGCTTTAGCATGTAGAGTTTCGTGTATTGTGGACTTAAGGTTTGGATGTTGGCGGCTGGGGTGTCGGGCTCAGGGTTTGGAGTTGCGGAATTGGGGCTGGAAGGTTCCAAGTAAGGCTTGGGTTTACCGTCAAGCGTCTACAGGTATGGGCATTCAACGACTTCCTGATTTTCCTTGTGAAGATACGGCTTTGCCGCACGGGCACAGCATAGCCGTGATCCTTCGATCAAGTGATTCTCCAGACAGTCAAAAACCCTGTACAAAAAATCCAAAATGACGTTGTATTCCTTAATCCAACACGGATTCTGGAGTCTGCGGGTGCAGTTGTCTAGCAAAGGGCCTTCAATGATCAGTATTGGGTTTTGGTGTCCAGAAGGCTATACATAAGTTATCATAGACATAGTACGGAACCGCCGCATGCCGTTGAAAGAATTATTTCGCCTCCTAGAATACCATCATTGCTTGTGAATTGGTACTAGGCGGCCCAGGGGACTTAGTAAGTAGGTTATACGTAGGGTTATAAGTATCCTAAATAGACTTGCCCCAATTACAACCCTACTCATAAGATACTTACTAAGTCCCCTGGACCTCTAAGTAAAGTTCAGACGGAACGAAGGGTTCCAGGCAGCCTGTCTTTTGCTCGGGCTGCGGTCCTAAATCTACAGGCCCAGAGAATTCAATTAGAGCCGGATTCTGGGATGTAGCCGGGCATAGGTTTAGGGTTCAGGGGTTTAGGAGTTTAGGGTGTAGGGTTTAGGGTTTATAGCTTGCTGGGATTTTGATGGAGTTACTAGTAATGAAGAATCGGATTTCTACTCGCTCATCAAGGTCCTTCATCGAGCCTCTAACAACGCCTGCAACACTCCAAGACTTACCTTTGGTTAGTAGGGAATGGAAGAATGTTAGTAATAGTAGTTTTAATTGTACCCCATTCCTCCATTCCCTACTAACCAAACGATTCCCAAGAAGCTGGGTCGCTTCTCAGGGTTTCGGTGTTCTGGAGCTTATGAAACCCTTGAAATTTGCCCCTCCTAGACATGCGGGGTGTCGCAGGTTCTGAGATTCACCACTCTTGGGTGAGGGCTTAACCGGGCCTATACTATTTTGGGGGGTTCCTTATCATAAATGTAGCACAATATAGGCCAAAACCCTATTCTAATTATGAAGGCCCCAATATTGTGGATGGGTCTTGGGGTTCCAGCGTTACCGAGAGTATTAGGCTCAGGGGTCTGTCGAATCCTTCTCCCCCCCACCCAGAAAAGCAGTGTCCCCTAATACAAAGCCCTTCATCATTAGAATAAGGTTTTGGGGCCCACTCTACTACAATCATAATAAGGAACCCCCAAAATGGTGTCGGTGATTCTCAAGGCCCCCCATATTAAACCCCAAACGGTAAACTCCCCCACCAGCCCCTGCGAGCGCCTTTTGCCGGAGCGTGTGGATGCCACAAGACATGGCGAGGACGGCCCAGACGCTCATCGGCAGCAGGGTATTCACGAGAAGCCTCTTCTTTTCTTTCTCTAGGGTTTAGGCTTTAGGGGCTAGGGGTTAGGGGTTAGGGTTCAGGGTTTAGGGTTTGGGGTTAGGGTTTAGGGTTTGGTGTTTGGGATTTAAGTTTAGGGGTTTAGGGTGTAGGGTTTCGGGTTCAGGGGAAGCCTTTCTGTAGGTTTCAGCTGTAGGCTTGAGGTTTCTTGTCGAGATTGAGGATCTAAGGTTCAGGGCCTAGGGTTCATGATTTCAGGTTCAAGTCTTAGAATCAAGGCTTGATTACGTTTGATGTCTAGGAGACAGGGGGGGCATTACTACACCGGGGTGGGCGTTACTACGCCTGAGCCGGGCTTTACCATCGGCTTGCTACAGCTGCCAAGACTGGGGATATGGGACCCGAGTATGCAGCCTGTATGATTCTGGAAGACTCCTTTGACTCTCAATCACAACATGTTGCTCGTAACCCCTTAGCTTTATATGATAACAAATTAACAAAGGTGACACATGATTCCTCAGGAACATTTCTGGGATTGGAAAGTTTACTGCAATGAAACTAGATCAACCTTCAACATGAAGTTCTTTAGGGTTTAGGGTTTACGGTTTAAGGTCTAGGGTTTGGAAGGGGTTTGTTAGGGTGGTACACAGGCTTTTTGCCGGCTCAAGGTGCAGGTTTCAGGCTGGGGCGCAGGGCTTTCGGGGCTTTCAGGGTTTGGGTGTTAGTTGTTAAGGCTTAGGGTGACTGGGTTGTGTAGTTTTGGGGCTCTGAAAAGAATTTATGAATAGGTACCTCTATAGGAACCATAAGGGAAATTAAAGAGTTTCCCAAATTGCCACCTAGGTGTAGGATTTACGGTTTTGGGGAATGTATCGCTGATGTGGAATGCGGAGCTGAGGGTTCGGATTTGAGGATGGCTTGGGAAAACGAGGGGACTTAGTAAGTAGGACAACAGTACAGTAATTAAGGGTATGGCGGAGGCTTCAAACCATAAAGACTCATAAAACCCTGACAACACCCTCCTGTAAGAACATACTGGACCCCGAACCCGGCACCTTAACATCCAACCGAATCCTACCCAGAGTCCCTTAATTAAGGAATTTTCGGATCCTACTATAGTTTAAGGTATATTCCTTAATTAAGGGATATTGGAGTCTCTGGGTACCTTAAAGCCCGAACCGCAAACGCCCAACCCCTTTCAACGGCCAGGAGACCGATCGTAAAAGCTGTTAGGATGGATGCAATCTGCTTGCAGGACCTTTCTCCCAGAGAAGCGCTGAGATGTCGGGTTTAGGGTTTAGGGTTTTAGGGTTTAGGGTTTAGGGTTTGGGGTTTAGGGCTTGGCGCTGCAGGTTCTGGCTCCTTGAGGATTCTCCGGGTTCCTTGAGGCGTTGGAGATGTCGCCTGGACCCAGAGAGCCCAAATCATCCACTTGACTTTAAGAAACTTTCGTTAAGCCTTTCAATACATGACAAGATGAACCAAGGAATACTCCACAGTTAAAAGTAGCTGGCCCCCTAGTCACTAGGGCCAGTGTTTGGGGTGCCCGCGTCTTGCGGATAGAGGCTATGCGCATAACCAAAAAGCGAAACTCGAAACGGCCGAAACTCGCGACCCCCAAACTCCAATCCCGGGGCTGCGATCAGCAAAAGCATGCGAAAATCTACACCCGGGCTTTTTCTAGAACCCCAGACCCTGAACGCCCGATCTGAGTTGAATCACTAACAACATATATGAACCGTGATGACAACTCTGATCAGCGTACCTCGTCAGTAATGCTCTTCTTGTGTACTTCTTCTTGGCATGGTGTTTCACAACTTTTTGGCAGCAGCATACTCATCATCATCCTCATCATCCTTAGCCCTAAACCCTATACCTTGAACTTCAGCCCACAAAGACCTTAAACCCTAAACCCCATGCCTTAAACCCTAAACCCTAGGACCCCGGACCTAAAACCTAAAACCCTCAACCCCAATTCTTAAACCCTAAACCCCAAGCCTTAAACCCTAAACCCTGAACCGCCAACCCTAAACCTTAAACCCTGGGATTTGCTCAATGAGCCTGGAAGATGGAGAGGTTGAAGACTCCCATCACGTTCAGAAAAGAGAGAAAGAGGGAGGGCCATTCGATGAAGGGCAAGACCCCAGGGACCATGTTCATGACCTTTGGGGCTTAGGGCTTGGGATCTAGGGCTTTGGGTTTAGGGTTTAGGGTTTAGGGTTTAGGGTTTAGGGTTTAGGGTTTAGGGTTCGGGGTTTAGGGTTTAGGGCTTTGGGTTTAGGGTTCGGGGTTTTGGGGTGGGCCTCGTAGAACGCTTCATACAAGTTTCTACAGGGTCGTATACCGGGTTTAGGATGGACATTTTGAAGGTAATCAGATCCTTTTGGGGTAGGCCGAGGGTTGGCGTTCCTAAACCTCAAAAACTGTTGGGCTGAGGGATACCTCAGGCTTGAAGTTTTTTTGAAGCTCCTTTTTCCAAGAGGCAGCAGTCCGCAGCTTCTAAGAAGGCCAGTAGGCTTGAGGTTTAGGGTTTAGGGTGAAGGTTGAGGGTTTGGGTTAAAGTCTATGTTCTGCGGTTAAGTTTAGGGTCTGCTAGAACACCAAAGCAGCTACCCCGTTAGGGGGCCTCACGCAGGAAATCATCATAAGAACCCCAAGGTATGTACCCTGAATGTGTACCTTAACCCCAAGTAACCTTCCTTCTTTAAGGACTTATACAAAGAAATCATATTAGGGAACCCTAGAAAGGCAGGTTCCTCAGGGTCCAGGTAGGTTTCCTGGCGACCAAGTAAGCTCCAAGGACTGGGATTCCAGGCTTCGGAATTCGTGACAACGCTCCAGGTCTTGTGATTCTGTGGAAGTCGCAGGGAAGTTTCTTTGGGATTTTTCGGGTTTAGGGTTTAGGGTGTTTTAAGGGTTTAGTGTTTAGGGTTTTGGGCTTTTTGATGATTTCGGACATGTCTTGGGTGTACAGGGTCGTCTAAGCGATGGGGGAAGACTTTTGTTGGAAGACTAAGACTACAGAGGCCTCCCTTGTAGGGGTCTATAAAGGATCTATAGTAGGGTTCTATATTTCAGGCCGAATTATTTTGTTCAATACGTTTTGGGGCCCATGATACTATAACTATTATAAGGAACCCCCACAACAGTAATAGCAAAGGTACTCATTTAGGCTCCTATGTGAAACCCCTAAGCCCCGAACCTTAGGAGTTCACCGACTGTGGGGCTTGCCATGAAGAAGATGGAGGTTGACAGAGCACAACCCTCGACAGCTCGTCAACACCTATGCACAACCCTCTATGGCCGTAAAGAAATGTTAGACCATCATTAACCTCGTGAAATCTAAGCCGAATATCAGGCACAGAGAAAGAAAAGGAAGCTCAGAGCCTGGAGCAGCGAGACGGCGATCTTAATCTTCGTCTTCAACTGTGCGGGTTTAGGGGGTTAGATGCCTTTTCTTGGGCTGAGAGTTTAGGCCTGTTAAAGTTCAGGACGAACGGCTTAAGCTTGTTTTGGTTTAGCGGGTTGGGGGCTTAGGGTTCTTCGCTTTTAGGAGGTTTAGAGCCAAAGGCCCTGGGGTTTACTTGGGTTTCGGCCTTAGCACAGGGACTGTTTGCTTGCGGTTGGTTTGTTCAGGGTTTGGGGCGTTGGCGCTTTCTGTCAGGTGTTTAGCGCCATTCGGTTGTCAGGTTTGGAGCTTGGTTTAGGAGACTATTGTTTGAGGGCCTCGTCTCGTTTCGGGTTTAAGGTAATAGGGTTTCAAGGTCTTGGGTTTAGGGTTTAAGACGGCTGAGGTTTTAGATTTAAGATTTCAAGCCTTGGGCTTGGGCCCATTTTAATTCAACCCCCGAGCCCAAACCCGAAATCCTGAAAAACACTGAAGCCTCAAATCCTCAATCTCTAAATCACTAAACCCACCCAAACCCTGAACCCGACAAGTGCCGCTCTATTCCACCACTCTGTCTTTTGAGGCCGTTGATTACAGCATCCGACAAAAAACCTTAAAGGGCCCTTCTTGTGGAAGCCCCAAAGCCCCAAAAAGTACGGCTGAAACAAGATAAAAGCCATCATCCCATAAAGCACTCTTGTTGCATGACAGAGCCTCCTTCAACTTCGATTTGCCATTGTGAGTGGCATTCTCCTGGGTGGTTCTTCAGACTTCGCGAGGCTCGGGTAAAGTGTAACCCTTCCAACAAGAGGCACTTAATCTGAAGCCTCCAAAAAAAACTTGTGAAGCACCTATTTATAAAAACCAAATATTGCAACCTCAGATTCCTTAACTCAAAGTAAACAGTAGGGCCGATGGGGGACCGGACCTTTCGGTCCTCAAAGATTTTTGTGGTTTTTGGGGTTTGGGGTTTAGGGGTTTAGGGGTTTAGGGGTTAGGGGTTTGGGGGTGTAAGGTTTAGGGTTTTCAAGGTTTCAAGGCTTCAGGGTTTTGTAATGGGTTTGGGGTTTCTGGCGCTTTGGGTTTTGGGTTTAGGGGCCCCGGGCTAAGGGTTTAGGCGTCTCCTGAGTTGACTGCAGAAAATCATGAAACCCTATCCCTAAACTACCCTCAAGACCCTGAACCAAACCCTAGCACTGCCTCGCGCGCTTTTCCCGCGAAGCTTGAAGGTCGTCGAAAAAAATCATCCAAAAACTGCGGAAAAACGTAGACGGTTTCCGACGGAAGAGAATATTGGCTATTACAGCCTCTGTACATTTCATCTAAAAATTGGTGAACCGAGCTTTGGCTCACGGAAAATTGGGTGGTGGCGAAGGTGGGGGGATGAGGTTGACGAGGTGTTCGGGGCCTCCGGAAAAAGGTTGGGTGTGGTCGGTGAAGGTGTGTTGCAGGAGGGCCAAGAGCTGTTGTTGTGCTCTTGGCCCTAATTCTTGTGGGGCATGGCCGGCTCTCACGTGCCTATCAGGGGATGTTAGAGCTAAGCTTACACGATTTCGGTTTTGTATACAAAAAAAATTAGGTTTCAACCCCCTACCTCTCCAAGCCCCAGCCCCGGTGCCCTTAGGGGTAGATTCTAGAAGTTTCTCTAGTGTCTAGACAAAAACTCTTACTTTCTTTAAAACCAACAAAGAAAACAGTTTCCGACTAGAGCCAAGTAGCCTCGCCCTGTACCCGGCCGTAGTACCACCTCGGGCCAGGTACTCGTGGTGCTCGTGGTGCAGGTTGTCGTGGTTGTCGTGGTGGGGATCGTGATCGTGGTGCTCGTGGTGACCTTGGCCAACTTGGTGAAAGTGAACTGAAAGTGAAGTGAATTGATAGTTTCTTGGTTGTTGAAAACGCAAAAAGTATGGTTGTTGAAAACGCAACAAGCTCGAAGCGAAGCGGCTCCCTTGGAGTGCTCCAACTTGGGGAAAGTGAATTGAAAGTGAAGTGAATTGAAAGTTTCTTGAAAACCTCTCCTTCCCCTCCTCCCCCTCGTCCTCCCCCTCCTCCTCCCCCTCCTCCTCCCCCTCCTCCTCCCCCTCCTCCTCCCCTCCTCCCCCTCTTCCTCCTCCTCCTCCACCTCCTCCTCCTCCACCCCCTCCTCCTCCGCCTCCTCCGCCCTCCTCCGCCTCCTCCGCCTCCTCCGCCTCCTCCCCCTCCTCCGCCTCCTCTGCCGCTGCGGTCTTTTTGGAGTGTAGAGCACTTCAGGACCAGGACCGCAACTGGGTGTGGTTTGGGAGAGCACTCAGAACCGCAACTGGGTGTGGTGATCAGACTGATCAGACTGCATCCGAACCCACAGAGCATCCATGGGCCAACCATGATGACGTCCAGATCAGACTCCAGACTCCATCCGAACCCGCAGAGCATCCACGGGCCAACCTTGATGATGTCCAGATCAGACAGATCAGACTCCATCCGCACCCACAGAGCATCCGTGGGCCAACCATGATCAAGTCCAGAGACTGATCAGACTCCATCCGAACCCACAGAGCATCCGTGGACCAACCATCATGACGTCCAGATCAGACTGATCAGACGCGCAGACTCCATCATCCGTGGGCCAACCATGATCAAGTCGAGATCAGACTGATCAGACTCCATCCGAACCCACAGAGCATCCATGGGCCAACCATGATGACGTCCAGATCAGACTGATCAGACTGCATCCGGCCCCACAGAGCATCCATGGGCCATGGGCCAACTGTCCAACCGTGATCACGTCCAGATCAAACTGATCAGACTCCATCCGAACCCACAGAGCATCCACTCGGACTTAAGAGCGACGCGAAGCGGCTCACGCGTGTTCCTCCATCTGCAGCTGCATTCCTCGGACTTAAGAGCGAAGCGAAGCGGCTCGTGTTCCTCCTCCATCTGCAGCTGCATTCCTCGGACTTAAGAGCGAAGCGAAGCGGCTCGTGTTCCTCCTCCATCTGCAGCTGCATTCCTCGGACTTAAGAGCGAAGCGAAGCGGTAGCCCCACAGTTGCCAAGTGCGCCGGTTGGGAACCTTCGCCATTTGAGCCCCCAGTTGCGAACTTTCGCCATTGCGAAACCACTAGCCCCAGCCTCGCCATTAAGAGCCCCCAATGGCTGGGGGCTGACCCCTAGCCCCCAGTTGCCAAGTGCGCCAGTTGGGAACTTTCAATGGCTGGGGGCTGACCCCAGCCCCTTGCAGTTGGTCTTGCACATCCGGGCCTCAAGAACGTTGATGTGCCCAGAACGCTTGAAACGGTAGTGAAGCAGAAGCAGCTGTTTGAAAGGCAGGGAGTCAGCAAGCTCACCAATCCACTCTGGATCTGAGGCGCACGAAGGGGTCCGACGGCAGCGAGACGCCGATGCGAGAACTGAGCTCGCGACGGCACAACAAGGACGCTCAAGGAACCCCTCTGTGAAGCACTATATGGCTGCCAGCAGCCATGCAGCCGCCCAGTCACCGAGGCACGACACAGCTCAAAGCGCAGAGCTTGAGACCAACCGCGGTGCGACGGAGAACACCAAGCTCTAGGCTCAGAGCTGCAACGACTCGAAAACACACTAAGGGACTCGGGACCTAACGTACCCTGAAGCTTAAAGTGGGGAGAGGAGCAGCTGCAGCGCGAACTCAAGTCAAGAAGCCAAGCCTTGTTGCGCAGCCACGTTGAAGCACCCTTGTACGGGGCGCCTGCGGCGCAAGCACACCAACGCAGGAGACTGGAACCCGAGCGACGCAGTCACTGGAAACAGTGCAGTTCGAACAGCAAGCTCTGACGAGGCTGCAGACTAAAGAAGCAACCTGAAACGGACACGAGGCTGCAAAGGAAGGCCACACAGCGAGCGTAGCGGTTGTCACAAGCAACTCGCGCACACCAGGTGCCACAACCAGCGCTGTCCAAACGCGAACGCCGAGAGCCACGGGCAGCGAAAGTAGAAGTAGGAGGGCAGAAGTGCCAGTCACGAACAACACCACGAGCAGCCAGCGAGCTGAGGGTGCTGAAAACCGAAGCGTCGCCAAGCGACGAGAAGCGGAAGGCGCCAGCAGAGCCCTCAAGCAAAGGGTGCACAGATAAGCCGACAGCGGCATGAGCAGCAATCCAGCCGGTGTCCCAAAAGGCAACCTCGAGGCAGTCGTAGAGCACACGCTCAGACAGAGAGCGCGGCAGCGGAAACAGCGACCCAGAAGCGTCAACAGAACTGGAGTAAGGGACCTCACAGAGTCAAAGCCCAACTCACGCAGAGCACCGCTCGAAGGAGCTTCCAGTTTAGTGTAGAACCCCCGCTGCTCCGACAAACGCCAAAGTTCGCGAACGGCTGCAACCGAGCACAAACCGGCACCAGTAGGCCTAGCGTCCATGCAGAACAGCTCGGGGCACCAGGAGGCACGCAAGTCATGAGTTTGAAGCAAAGGCCCAAAGCCGCAACAGCCAAAAAGCTCGTTTCGCACAATACGGGGAAGACGCCACACACGCGTAGCAGGGAGCTGAGAATCTTCGGCGAAAGCACAATCCAAGACGCACATGGCAGGCCTTCGAAACATCAAGTCGTGAATCCAAGAGCCCAGGAGCAGACTGAGCAACTTCGGAGTGGCCCAGCCCCGCCGCGCAACCTCAGCCGTGCAGAGCATGAGCACAAGTAAACGGTCCCGGGGAGCCGAAACTTAAGCTCGCCGTCGACCTCAGCACTCAAAAAAGTGCCTTGTAGCAGATTTCGCCGCTTCTTCTTAGGATGCTGAACTAAGTGAGCCGAGTCGTAAGCCAAAGAAGCTCGTTCAAACACAGCGGTGTCACGCTGAGGCGTCGCACGCAAAGCCGCCCTCCGATTGACAACCTGAGCAGAGATGTGACCGTGAATGCGAAGGCATCACGAGGGAAAGCACGCCAGTAAGCCACCGTGTGCGACGGAACCAAAGCGCCAGTGAGACTGCGTAAAACACCCACGTGTGCTTGTTGCGCCAGCTCCACGGCCAAACAGTCACCCATAGCGAGGCTGGCTAGAGAAATGTAGCACTGACCCCAATGAAGCGAAGCACTGAAGGCCACACGCTTCTCATCAAACCAGGCGTCGGGCATCGCGCCAGACCTTCCCCACCACCTCGGCCGGGGTAGGAGCCGGTGCAGTTGCTGAGGCCGAACTCGAGAACCTCCCCATCCAGCTCTTCCTGGAACTCGGTCGCGGTCACATACTCCAGGATCGGGGGTCTGAAACCGCCAGTCGCCGACTGAAGCTGCCCAAGCAAGCCCACGCGGCACGTCTGCCAACAGAACAACACTTTCCACCAAGAGCGGCGTCGTGTCGTGTCCAGAAGGACCGCGCGCTCGGTGAGCACGACGGCAGACCCACCAGCAGAATCCTCCAAAGCGCTGGGCACCTCGATCACGGTCTGTGTATGGGGAGCGCGATGCAACAGCCGCCGGCCCGGGCACGCAGCAGAAACACCAGAGCTCGCCAGTCAGGAGCCTCGTCCGAAAGTTTGGCAGAGCCAGCGAGGCCCGGCTGCAGGAGGAGCCAGCAGAGCCCGCACCTCGGGCTTGGCCAACCCACTCAAAGGACGGGAGGCCATTCGCGACCTCAGACCAGCAGCAAAGGCGTCATGGCGAAGTCCTCAAACCTCTCGTTGTTCGGCCCGGCCACCAATCGGAAGTAAGTGGCAGAGCCCCGAATGATAAAGCCTTTCGGGTGACGAGTGCACCGAACGCAGGCGTAGAATCTGTTCCGCAAGCTAGGTAGCAAAAGTGAGGCAGGCTGCAGTCAGTGCAACCCTTCCGCAACAGCTAAGGCTCCCACCCCGACTCGAAAAGCTCGCCCAATAATGCGAGCTCGAGGCGTCCACTCACGATCGTCTCCCAGACCTCGGGCAAGAGACAAGTGTGATCCCAAAGGCAGCTCAGCCAAAGCAGTCGGCGAAGTGATCTCAAGCACAAGCGACCGACGTTCGAGCTGGGCCGGTGGGCCAGCAAGGGGTACTCTGGCACTGACTGTTTCGGAGACCACCGAATAGCCAGAGGGGGTTGAAGAAGACGAAGTAGGTCGAGGCGAGGAGCTCGCAAAAGCACGAAGCGGAGAGCCTGCAGCAATAGCCTGCACGCTTCCCGGCGAACGCAGAGTGACTGTCAAGCCCCCAAACAGAACCAACTCCTCGAGGGCCGGGTCCTCAGAGTGCATGCACCTTAGTCGGTGTACTGGCGAAGACGGCGAACTTGATCGGGCCGCCTGGACCACCAGTGAGCAGGAGGATCAGAGCCCTGCTGAAGCCACCAGCCCAAACAACGAAGCCCTCGGCCCACGAAAGCCCAGCAAGCCCCAGACAGAAACAGTGCGGTAATGATGAAGCCGCAGCAGCAGCCAATCAGCACAGCACCAAGTGTAAGCAGAGCGAGGGCAGCGATGGACCAAGAGCAGTTATGGCTCGGCACACTAAGGCTATGCCACCTGAGCTCCTGCAACAAGGGCTGGATCGCGTCCAGCCACATAAGCCGAAAGATCTTCAGTGTTCGCTCTGCACTCTCTTCGGAAGTGCTAGGCTGCAAACCATAGAGACCCTAGATTGTAGGATCCTTTCTCTAAAGACCTCTTCATAAGGGACCGCTGGTTTTCAGAAAGTACCATGTCGCAACCGCTTATCGTAACCCTTATCGAACCTGCGATGCTTAAAAGAACCCTCGAAGGATCCCTTGAAAGAACCCTTAAAGGAACCCTTAAGGAACCCCTTCAGAATGAACTTTAAAACCTTTATTATAGAACCTCTGTCATGGCCCAGTGTCGAGGAAATGGCGGATCCTCCGTCCGAAGCAGATGAAGATACAGAGCAGAGCCGCCAACATCACCGCCAGCCACTGAACCTTGGGGTTTAGCGTTTAGGGGCTTTATGGTTTAAGGTTTAGGGCTTGAGGGTCCGGGATTTAGGGTTCAGGGTTCAGGGTAGAGGGAGGCCACCGACGAACCCTGACACCCTGCCCTAAACCCCCAAAATCAACTGACAGAAACCAAACCCTCACATACCAAAGGCCTGAAACTTGTGAGTCGAAGTCCTAAACCCCCAACCAAAATGAGAATCCCATAGAACCCTTACACTTGAATGCACCCCTACAAAGGAACCCTAAAAGGCGGCCCTTCGAGGAAGCCCACAAAGTCCTCGAGCCTCCGAGGAACCGGGCCCAAAAATATCACCGTAGAGGAGCACGCTCGGCATCGGCCGGTGTCCGGCTCCTGAGCTTAGGGGCTTAGGGTCCTTTAAGGGATCCTTAAAGGGCTACTATAAGGGCTCCCCTTAAGGGTTCCTATAAAGGAACCCTTAAAGGAACCCTTAGGGGTCCTTGAAGGGATCCTAAAAGGGCTAATGCAAGGGTTCCCCTAAGGGTTCCGATAAAGGAACCCTTAAAAGGAACCCTTAAGGGTCCTTTAGGGATCCCTTTATGTGAAGGCTTAGGGTTTAGGGCTTAAGGGTCAGGGGTTTAGGGTCCTTTCAAAGTCACTTTAATGTTCAGGGTTTAGGGTGTAGGGTCTCAAGGGTTGGGGGCTTAGGGGTTTGGTTACGGTTTAGGGTTTAGGGGTTGTGGGTTTATGCGGTTAGGGTTTCGCTAAACCCCCCCCAAACCCCTAACCACCCTAGACACCCTCAACATCCCAAATTCCCCACAAGTCCCTGAACCAGCAAACCTCATAAGCACCCGAAACCCCTAAACACCCTGAACTCCCCCAAAGACCCTAGAGCGTTCAGGAACTTGCCTTGCTTTGCCATACAGAGACACGGATGCTTTCTCAAAAATGGCCGCTTGCGCGGAGTTCCTCAAAATCCTACACCACCCTCACGAAGCCCTCGTAAAACCAGATGGGGGTTTCCGAAAACAAGGGACCCTAATATAGTACCCTGAATACTAGGATCCTTATTATCGGGACTCAAAATAAGGTACCCCTAATTTTCGGACAGTCCCATCTAAAACTCCTCATAGCAACTGATACGCCCCCTGTCGAGGCGAGAGCCCTGAGCCCCTACACCCGGAACCCTACCCCTTAAACCCTAAACCCTAAACCCTAAGCCCCGAAACCCTAAAAACCCCTAAAAACCCTAAACCCTAAGCCCCTAAACCCGAAACCCTAAACCTTAAACCCTAAACCTTAAACCCTAAACCCTAAGCCCCTAAACCTGAACCCACAAATGCGGGCCAGAGGTCGCGGAAGAACATGTCGGAACACTCTTCACATCTGGGCCCCTCATGGCCCTCCTGACAGCCCTCGTCCCCAACGGCGGTACCACCGAGACCTGAATTGGGCATAAGATCGGATGACGGGATTGATCCCGAGGATCGGCATCATGATGGTGGCCATGCGGCTATGACGACCAAGCTGAGAAGGAGGATGGGAACGATGGCGATCACGATGATGCTTGTGCCGCTGGTGCTGCTGGTGCTTGTCTGGTGCTGGCGATGCTGGTGGTGCTGATGAAGGAAGGTGCTGCTGGCGGTGCTGCTGGTGGTGCTGGTGGTGCCGGTGGTGCTGGTGGTGCCGGTGGTGCTGGTGGTGCTGGTGGTGCTGGTGGTGCTGGTGGTGCTGGTGGTGCTGGTGGTGCTGGTGGTGCTGGTGGTGCTGGTGGTGCTGGTGGCGGTTCTGGTGCATCTATGCCTTTTTGCCTTCAACGTCTTGTCATGGTCCACGATTACGTTATGACATGAATCCAAAACCATCACCAAGCCGTATCTATCATTCTCTTTATGTTATGAAGATGACCATGATTACGATGATTACGATGATGGTGATGATGATGATGATGATGATGATGATGACGGTTGTGATGCTGGTGGTGGTCATGATGGTGATGGCGATGGCGACGGCACTGGTGATGGCGACGGTGATGGCCATGGTGATGGCGATGCTGATGGCGATGGTGATGATGATGGTGATGATGGTGATGATGATAATGATGATAATGATGATGAGTTTGATGACGATGGTGATGCTAATCAAGATAAAAATGATGATGATGATGATGATGATGGTCTTTTGGTAATGGTGGTGGTGCTGATGGTGACGATGATGATCATGGCCATGGTGATGACGATGACAATGACGTTGATGATGGTGGTGATGATGATGGTGATGATGGTGTTGGTCATGGTGGAGTACTCAACATCATTGTCTTGTCAATCAGGCTATCAAGACCAGTATTGCGACGCGGCTAAAAGTACGGATCATGCTAACCATGCGAATGTTAATGATGCGAATCATGCTCGTAATGCTGAAAACGGGAGTACTGCAAGTAAGTAATGCGAATGCTAATAATGCTAGTGCTGCTCATGTGCTCACAAGGCTTATAATGCTGATCATGCTAATAATCCTAATGCTAGCAATGCTACTCATGCTAATCTTGCTAGCAATGCTAATGCGAGTTACGCTAATCATGCTAATTATGTTAATGCTAATGATGTTAAGGCTAATAGTTATAACAATGATGCTGCCGCTGCACCTGCTGCACCTGCTGCTGCTGCTGCTGCTGCTGCTGCTGCTGCTGCTGCTGCTGCTGCTGCTGCCGGGCGCGGGCGCGGGCGCGGGCGCGGGCGCGGGCGCGGGCGTGGGCGCGGGTGCGGGTGCGGGTGCTGGTGCTGGTGCTGTTGGTACCGGTGATGCTGGTGATGCTGGTGATGCCGGTGCTGCTGCTGGTGCTGCAGGTGCCGGGGCAGAGCCGCTGCCGGTGCCGGTGCTGGTGCTTGTGCTGAGGAGGAAGAGGAGAGGAGCGTGTTAGTATTGTTGCGGCTAAAACTCCGAACGGCGAGAGAATACGCCTGCTGAAACTGCAGTCAAGACGCAAGCATCTGCAGTGCTGCAAGCATAGACGTCGGCGACATCCCGCACAAATCGCCAGTAGCCTGTGCTGTTTGGGGGGGACCTTACAGTATCCCGAGCTAGGCCCAATCCGGCCTCGAGAGAGGTTCAGGCTAACCAGCTCGGAGCCAGGCGCCTCCCAAGGGAATTTTTGGGAGTTTCCAGAGACTCCAATATCCCTTAATTTAGGAATATATACCTTAAATTATAGTAGGATCCCAACTATGATTGAAGGACTATTCCTTAATTCAGGGACATTGGAGTCTCTGAGTTACAGGGGCTCCAGCTTCAACTGTAGGGCTTAGGACTTCGACGCTCTCGGGGTTCAGGGTTCAGGTTCAGAGTTTAGGGCTGCAGATATATGGGTTTCGTAAACGTACCAACAACCCTTTTTTAGGGCTTCCTTGTATCTAGGAATTTTGGCCTTGAATTGCTGCTAGTATGGTTTCAGGTCTTGGGTTTGGAGCCAAGGGCTCAGGGCTCAGCCTTGGAAGATGCAGGGTTTCTCTCGGATAATAGGGGCCTTAATAATTAGCATAGGGCTTTGGGGACCACTATACTTTTCTTATAAAAAGGAACCCCCAGGATAGTGTTGGTACTTATTTAGGCCCCTATGTTAAGGGTCGTGGGCTCGAGGTTGAAAGGGTTTCTGAGGGCCCTTGGCTTGGACTTCAAAGTTTGGGGTTCTGGCGCTTTGAGGGTGTGGGTTTGGGGCTTAGGCTGTGGACCCAAGGTTTTTTTCTTTAAGGGCCTATTTTCCGTCTGCATAAGAGTCTATGCTACGAAAAGCCCACATGGGTCCAAGGTTTGGGGTTTAGGGTTTTGGTCTTCGGTAAGAAAAGGAGCATTGGGAACATCTTCTGGACTCTTGGTGAGCAGGTATCTTGAGGAAAGACCATAGAAGAATTCAAGGACCTTTCATATCTTTACCAAAACCCCCCAACTTGCAAGGTCGAACCCCGAACCGTAGACCCCAACCCTAAACTAGACTCAAAATTATGAAGCCTTCAACCTTAAACCTTGTAAAGGGCTTCCTTGACGGCTACCTCGCAACAGCGATCCTCACGGCGGCTGGAAGCAACACTAACCAGCGGCCTTCAAAATTGGATTAGGCCGTGCTGGAAAGATCGAATGCAAATATGTAGAGACTCTAGATGGGCGTTCTGATCTTGGGACCGCCGCAATCGTGAAGCCTACACCCCAAACCCCAAACCCTACCTGTCACTATTCAGATTGGGGCTGCTTGGGGTTTAGGCTTTGGGGGGGGTTTAGGGTTTAGCCCTAACCTTGGGATCCGAAAACCTACCGTTTCAAGGGTTGGACCCTCTAATTAAGGAGTCATAACTATTTCGTAGGGTTTGGGGTCACAGGAAACCTTAAACCCCAAACCCTTAGGGTTTGGGGTTGAAGTTGTGGAGTTTGGGGTGGTTGATGTGACAGTTCAGGCTACCCGAAACCCCAAACCCTCATGCTAAGCTTTCCCTTCCGGAGTCTCGGAGTCTGACTAGGGTTTCGGGTGTTGGGTTTAGGGTTTAGGGTTTGGTATTCCATGGTTCTGGATTCTGAAACTCAAAAAAGGCACAAGTCAAAAGCTGTTAAGACTCTCTTTAGGGAGGCTCTTGAATAGGGCTGCTTGCATTCAAGAGCCTTTGCATGAAGGATACTACTATCTTCTGAAACCCCTTTAACCCTCATTAAACCCTAAACCCTAAAACCTAAACCCTAAACCCTAAACCCCTGAACCCTAAACCCTAAACCCCAAACCCCTGAACCCTAAACCCTAAACCCTATACCCAGAATCAGATTCAGGATTCGGGGGCCGGTTCCCGGGGGGGGAAGGCTTAGAGCTTCGACCCTGAACCCATGTCCTGGCTTTTTTGGGTTGTTAGGGTTTAGGGTCCACCTGTAGCCGAAAAGACCTATCTTTTTAGGGTTCCTTATTATGGTTTCTATATATAAGTCCTTAAAAAGGTAGGTCTTTTCGGCTACAGGCAAGGTTTAGGGCTTAGCCCCATCCTCGCAGATCACCCCGGTGGGGCACTCCAGACATTCAGAATCCAATCCCTCCTTGGCTCACCGTTGGGCTTTGAGGCTTAGGGTCAAGGCTGTAGAATTTAGGGTGTAATGTAGGGGGCCCTTATAGTTAGAATAGGTTTCGGAGGATTCCTTACTCTAGTTATGCTCTAGTACCCCTTAATAATTAAAATGGGGTTTCGGGGCCCATTATACTACAACTATAATAAGGAACCCCCCGGTATAGGTAATTATGTAGGCCACTGCATTAAACCCCATAATACCAGTTATAGTAACCCTATTAGCAGGAGGCTTTTTAAGAGCCCTTTAAAGGAACTCTAGTCTAATTATAGTACTGGTCAGTATTGTATTCTATTTAGTTTTCAATCCCAACGACTCTCGGTTTTATATAGGGGGGGAAGTGATGCTAAGTATCCGAAACTTTAGGGGCTGGGGTTTAGGGTTTAGGTTTTAGGGTTTAGGGTTTAGGGTTGAGGGTTTAGGGCTACATCAGAGGCCCTTACCTTGCTTCTGAAACTCCCTTTTTTAAGACTTTCGGCCCGGGTCAGCACAAGGTTTTCCAAATGCTTACGAAATAGAGACAACCCAGAGACTCCAATATCCCTCAATTAAGGAATATACCTTAAATTATAGTAGGATCCTTAATATGATTTAAGGAATATTCCTTCATTAGAATCTCTGGGTTCAGGAGTTCGGGACCTACATAAGTAAGCCGCAGTCATGGGGGATGTTGTACAGCATGCTCGCGCAAGGAGTACTGTGTATTGTGGAGACAATGCGAATACGCAACACTAGCTGACCCAGTATCCTAAAGCCACTTCCCAAAATAAAAGCTTCTTCTGAAAGGTTTAATGGGTTTTACATCCAAAGCACCATTGCTTGCTTGTCCAGGATCATTGGGGAACTAAGGGTTGTTAATTGTCTTGTGGATTATATAGGGATCGGGTTTCGATTGTGGGGTTCAAGCCCAAACGCCAGGCTTTGTAAGGGACGGTTAGGCAGAAGCTTGACACCGACGGGGCTTGGGGCACAAAGCCTTCACCCAAACGCCTAAATCCGGAGCCCGAGACCAGTAATCCACCTAAAAGCTAGAAGCCCTGTGCCATGCCCTAATGCCGCCGCAGCTTCGTAGAAACCGCGGCGGCAGCTGCAGGCGAAGGCATCACCGTCGCGCTGGCTATTTGCAGGGCATGGTCTACAGTCAGCGTGGCAGAGAAGGCAGCTTTCATTGGTCGGTCTCCAAACCTTGTACCTGAAAGGTGTGGGGTTTTACAGGGGTCAGCTACGGCTATATCGAGATGTCACAAGGGGTTTTATGGGTTTTGTAGGGCTTCTTGACATTGGGGCTACCTTACTCAGGGTCCTGCAGGGGGTTCTACGCAACTTTCGTGGTCCAGAGGTTCATGGATGTGGATGTTGGGGGCAAAAAAGAAACCCCCAAAAGAAACGGATTTAAGGAACCCTTCAAAAGAATCCCTGCAAGGAACCCCTGAAACGGAACCCCGTAAAGTTTTTCTTGTTCCGCGGTCTGTTTGGACATGACATTGCCACTGGGTCCTAAAAGTGTTTTTGCTGTCCGCACGCTGGCATCCAGAGGTTTCTGCTTGTTCCGAGCCTGTTGGCTCTGCAACCTGCCGGTAGCGGCCGAGAAATTTTTTCTGATGAAACCAGAGAGTCTGCTTTTTTAGGCCCGATGCAGTACACCAGCGTTTTTTGGGCCGCTTGCAAGCCCTGCAGCCGCGTGTCAGTGAGAGTGCAGGGCGGCAGTGGAGTAAAACAAGCAACACAAAAGCAGTCCACCATCCCAGAATTGCTCCCAGGCTTGGGGTTCGGTTTAAAATGAGCCCTGAACCCTAAGCCCAATAAAATCCAAGGCGCCAGTCTTCCTCACATGTCCGCGCAGCTGGTAACGGGTAATTGAAGGGGGCATCAGCATACTCCGGTGGGAAGAGTACCTTGCGCGGTTTAGGGTTTATGGTTCTGTTAGAGCAGAGGGTTCAGCGTCTCTGGCTTCGGAAATGTCTTTCCAAGCTTTTCTCAAAACAAAACCGCCCCCCGCCCATAGAGTTTGAATTCATGAACAAAGTCTTTTCTAACCCCCGAGGCCCTGAATCGTAAGGCCTAAACCCTAGGCCCTAAACCGTAGGGCCTAAACCAGGCCTAAACCTTAGGGCCTAAACCCTAAACCCTAAACCCTAAACCCTAAACCCTAAACCCTAAACCCTAAACCCTAAACAACCCTAAACCCTTAGGGCCTAAACCCTAACACCCCTGAACCCAAGGCCTGAACCCTGGGGCCTAAACCCTAGGACTGATCCACAGCCACGAGTTTGATCAAGTAGGGTTTAGGGTTTAGGGTTGGTTTAGGGTTTAGGGTTTAGGGTTGGTTTAGGGTTTAGGGTTTAGGGTTGGTTTAGGGTTTAGGGTTTAGGGTTGGTTTAGGGTTTAGGGTTTAGGGTTGGTTTAGGGTTTAGGGTTTAGGGTTGGTTTAGGGTTTAGGGTTTAGGGTTGGTTTAGGGTTTAGGGTTTAGGGTTGGTTTAGGGTTTAGGGTTTAGGGTTGGTTTAGGGTTTAGGGTTGGTTTAGGGTTTAGGGTTTAGAGTCACGAGTCTTGATCAAGAGCCACGAGCTTTGATCAAGAGCCACGAAGTCAAAGTTTAGATTACAATGGGTAGAGAGGTTTAGGGCGCATGCTTGGGGTGCTTCAGGATAAGAATTTACATGAAGGGCCACGAGCAGCGGGTAAAACAGATGTGTAGTTTGCTGGATATGTCAGGGAAGCTAAAGCAAGGTTTTTTTGCTCGGGTATCGGCTCAGATGTTCAAGAAGCTCCAGAGAGAAACGAAAATGATCCAAGGTTGAGCTATGCTTGAACGGTTGAGAACATAGGGTGTAGGGTGGTAGAATTTAGGATATAGGGTTTACTAGTGTTTTCTGCGGAGCTTCTATTCGTTCGACTGTACAGAGATTCAGAGACTTACGGATAGTTGTTTGCAAATAAAGTCACGTAAAGCTTTAGATACCCTAACCGAAGTTAGGCTTGAATATCGTGTTGGTTGTATGGCAATTCGCCCCACTGAAACATGAATCCATGATCCGTCAAGGTACCGACAGGGTTTCATTGTCCTTGATGGTGCACGTCGGCGGGGGCATGCCGTTGATCTGCCCCCATGGGTTGAACGCAGCCGGCCCAGCAAAAGTGTTGCCGAAAGATTCACCCGAGAGCATCAAGTCCCTCACGGCCAGATAGACATCCTCATTTGTTGGTGAAGGGTTTAGGGTTCAGGGTTTAGGGAAGACCTTAAACCCCAAACTCCGTCTCCACATCGTCAGTGTCGGCGTATAGAGTCTGGGATTGAGGATCAGTTGAGAGTTGAGGGTGTGAGGTCGAGGGTCCATTTTGAAACCTCTAAACCTCTAACCTGCCTATCCTAAACCTCTAAACATCCAAAGCCCTGAATCCTAGAACTTAAACCCTGAACCCTAAACCTAAACCTCCAAACCCCTACAGGGAACTCCAGTAAGTTGGAATATGGTTTCATGGTAGGAAATCATATTCCAACTTTCTGGCTTTGACCCTAAATCCCTAAACCCTGCTTTGTTGGCTTGGCGGCTCTTCGAGTTAAGGGCCGCCAGGGTCTAGGGCTTAAAGTAAAAGCCAGAAAGTTGGAATATGATTATCCTAAACCCTTTATGGTAAATTATAAGGTATCCTACCCTGAAACCATATTCCAACTTTCTGGAGTTCCCTTTAGGGTTTGCGTACTATCGTGGCCTCAATACCCATACGCCCCATAGTAGTTCCTTTTTGGGGTTCATATGTAGAAACCTATAAGGTAATCCCAAAAATGAACTACTATGGGGCCTATGGGTAATGAGAGCAGGGTTTAGACAAGTTTCGATGCCTTCTTTCAAGGATTTTATTTACGGGTGTTGCAGGCTTTACTTATTTTTCATGGTTTGGGTGTATATCATACTCCAATTTTAACCAGGAGCCCCGGAACAATTACTGGCATTTGTTTTAGGCCCCTATAATAGGGTTTTGACGTATTGTAGACTATAACTCTAACTTGGACTTCCTAGTAGTAAAGGATTTCTGAACCCTTAAGCTGCAAACCCAAAACCACCAGAAAACCCTAAACCCTAAACCCCAAAACCACCAGAACCTAAGACACTCAAGCCCCCAAGCCCGGAACTCGAAACTCGAAAAGGAAGCAAAAAATGATATAAAGCCCGCAACAGCCTTCTCAGACCCTACATTTTACCAAAACTGCAACATGTCGAAAAAAACAAAACCGAAACCCATGACCACAAAAAACATCGTTGAAGCAACTGCAAAACACCCCCCGAAGCCTTGTCCTTTCCTTCTTTGCTTAGCCTCTGGATCCAGTGGGGAGTGCAGCAAGTTTGCCGGATCCTTGACTTCCCGAAACCTTGGTTTTAGGGTTTAGGGTTCGGGGCAAAGGGTTTAGGGGTGTAGGGTTTAGGGTTTAGGGTTTAGGGTTTAGGGTTTAGGGGGTGTAGGTTTTGAGCTAGTTCCTTTCAAAAAACACCAGGGAAAAATTTTAACTGACCCAACGGCCTACCCAGGTAAAGGCTGCACATATGGGAGTTTCCGAAAATAGGGGACCCTTATTTGGCACCCTAAATAGTAGGATCTTTTTTTTATAAGGACCCCAAAATAACTAACCCCAATTTCCGGAAACTCTACACCCTTATAGAGCCCTCTAAAGGAACCCTGAAAGTACCCTAAAAGTAACCCTTTGAAGGAACCCTAAGGTACCCCTAAGTTGAGGAAACTCCCATATGAGGCTTTGGTGCGTTGGGTTTGGGATTTCGGGATTTCGGGAGCAGGGCTTAAGGTTCCGACTTAGGGTTTAGGGCTTAGGATTTTGGATCTAGAGTATGGGGTTGCGTTTTAGGGTTTTGGGTTTAGGGTTTAACTTGAGATTTTGGGTTTAGGGTTTAACTTTAGATCTAGGGTTTAGGGTTGGGTTTTAGGGTTTTGGATCTACGGTTTAGGGTTTGGGTTTAGGGTTTTGGGTTTAGCGTTTAGCTTTAGGGTTTAGGGTTTACGTCCGAAAGTTTAAATTGAGATTTTGGGTTTAGGGTTTTGGGCTCTGTTGGAATTGGTATCTTCAGACACTGTGCCACCAAGCAGCAACAACTCCTAAACCTTAAGTGGCCTTAACCGTCCCAGCCCCTGAACCTTAAGCGGGCCCCATACCCAAGCCGAAAAAATCGATCTTCTCAGCAACTAAGGCACTGGAAGACAGTCTGAACTGCCTGCAAGAAGGCCGACAAGCCCACCTTCGAGTGAAAGCTTCAGACTGACTTCGGGGTTTAGGAGACACCTTGAAAACCACAGACCTTAACCGTTACATAAAGGGAACTCCAGAAAGTTGGAATATGGATTAATGGTAGGATCCCCTATAATTTACCGCAAAGGGGTTACGATAATGATATTCCAACTTTCTGGCTTCTACTGTAAACCCTACACCCCAAACCTTAAACCCTCAACCCTTAAACCCTCAGCTGGAGCCTTTACGTAGCATGTATGCTGTAACCCTCAAAATCCCACCCTAAAGTATAACCTCCTTACAAACCCATAGAATTGCATAGCACATTAGAGCACCTGATTTACAAAAAACATGTAGTCTGTGCAAAACATCATCCAGCCTCGTACTAACCCTGCATAAATTTCAAAATGAAAGAACTGAAACACCATAGTATAGAACCGCGTAAAAAGGCTCTAAACCCATTATGAGGCACTCTACAAACCCTCTAAAGCCCCGGCAAAAAGTGATAAAGACCCTGTTAAGACTCTTAATATAGGGGCCTTAACAATTAGACTCGGGTTTTGGTGTATGTTATACAAAAACTATAAGAAGGAAACCCCCCCAAAATAGTATATATTGGTAATTAAAGTATTTAGGACCCCATACTACGCAAACCTCTACAAACCCACCTCCGGATCGTAGATCGGCTCGGTGCCCAGGAGTTCTGCATACTCCGAGCCATTTAAGCCTTGCTTTAGGGCGGGGTGGAGATTTTTTTTTGACCCTTTTATTTTTTTTTTTTTTGCCCTTTTTTTTTTGGGGGGGGGCGGGGGGTGGGGGCGGGGCTAGGGGTTTCGGGTTTAGGGGGGAGTTCCCTATGTTCCCGGGTTTCGGGTTTAGGGGGGAGTTCCCTACGTTCCCATAGGAAAACTTCTAGTTTGTTTATATTTCCCTGGTTAAAACCAATCTTGTATCTAGTTTTAAGGTGGAAAACCAGGATTTTCTCGATATGTCCATATCTACATCCATAGACCTGTATTTGTCTATGTTTACTTCTACGTTTACGCAGGAAAACAAACGAGTGAAGTTGTTTTGGGAGCATTTATCTTATTTCTCTTTATTTGGTGTTCATTGTTGTTCTTTGGTTCGTTGTCTTGGTTTTTCCTAGGAAAACCAACATTGTATAGCTTCGTAAGATTAATACCATTTTTGAAGGAGTTCCTATGAATTCTTTCGTTTTGATTCGATTACTTGGTTTTCCACGGAAAAACATAATTTCTTATATCTTTTCATGAGATTAACTCATTGCTTTGTTTTTGATTCGTTTTCTAGGTGTTTCCCGGGAAAAACCAACATTTCCCATATGAGAATATGCTTCTGGTTCAGGGTTTAGGGTTTAGGGGGGAGGGGAGTTCCCTACGTTCCCGGGTTTCGGGTTTGGGGGGGGTTGCCTACGTTCCCATAGGAAAACTTCTAGTTTGTTTATATTTCCCTAGTATAAAACCAATCTTGTATCTAGTTTTAAGGTGGAAAACCAGGATTTTCTCGATATGTCCATATCTACATCCATAGACCTGTATTTGTCTATGTTTACTTCTCCGTTTACGCAGGAAAACAAACGAGTGAAGTTGTTTTGGGAGCATTTATGTTATTTCTCTCTATTTGGTGTTCATTGTTGTTCTTTGGTTCGTTGTCTTGGTTTTTCCTAGGAAAACCAACATTGTATAGCCTCGTAAGATTAATACCACTTTTTGAAGGAGTTCCTATGAATTCTTTCGTTTTGATTCGTTTACTTGGTTTTCCACGGAAAAACATAATTTCTTATATCTTTTCATGAGATTAACTCATTGCTTTGTTTTTGGTTCGTTTTCTAGGTGTTTCCCTGGAAAAACCAACATTTCCCACATGGGAATATGCCTCTGGTTTAGGGTTTAGGGTTCTCACTGGGTTTTGCTTCTTGCTACGCATCGATGCCTCCATGCCTGTGGAAGGTGGTGCCGAGTTGCAATCCTGCGCGCGTGCTGCATCGTTGATTCATAGCTTTGATCGGGCATGGGTGACCTGCAATGCCATCAATGAAGTCCAGTGTTGCGCAGGTATCAGTGTATATACGATTACGTTCCTTTTTTCTTCCATCCTTCCTTTCTTGCTTCCTTCCTTGTTTGTTTTCTCCTTCCTTTCTTCCTTCCCTCCTTCCTCTCTTCCTCTCTTCCTTCCTTCCTTCCTTCCCACGGAAGGGCAAACAAAAAAAAAGGGCAAAAAAATAAAAAATAAAAGGGTCAAAAAAAATTGGGTCCCCTTTAGGGCGCCACACGCGGTTTTCTATCACGAGGAGGGTTTTGGGGTGTTGGGTTTATATAGGAACCTGATTAAGAAACCCTGAGCCTAAAACCCCAAAATAGTAGGACTCATATGAGGAACCCTAATAAAGACCTAGGGTTTCTTAATCAGGTTCCCACATTAGGGTTTCGGGTTTTGGGTGCATGGCGGAAACTGTGGGTTTCGGTGTTCCACGCCTGTTCGCCCCCCCCCCCCCTGCAGGCCTAGAAGTTAAGGTTTTAGGCGTTGGGTTCCAACCCGCTTTGTGAGGATGTTATGTTTAAGAGTCTATGTGTAAGTGCTTGTAGTGGCTCCTATCTGGGTGGTTGTCAAAATTATGGTCCCGTTTTGGGTCCCTAATTTTGATACGGCACCTAATTTTTAGGGTATCCATAAAGGAGCCCTAATTTTGACAGCTACCCACCCAAGAAGGTCCTACGGGGACGAGAAGGTTCAGGGTCGTCTAATGCGGGGCTTTCTTCTATGCCTTAAGATTCAAAGTTCAGGATTTTCGGGTTCGGGGCTTTTGGTCTCCAGCGTCGGGAGAAGTGTCGAAGTTCAGGAACCTGGGAGTTTAGGACTCGAGGTACCGCAAATCAATAGCTAAAGGCTACTCGGCTACTTAGAAGCCCAGGGGACTTAGTAAGTAGGTTACAAGTAGGGTTGTAAGTACCCTAAATGGAGTACACCAATTATCACCCTACTTGTAACCTACTTACTAAGTCCCCTAACCCCCCAAGTACTTACTTGAGTACGAAGGAGCCGATGACGCCGTCGCGAATCACGTGCGTGATCTGCGGAAACACGAAGGGCTGGGCGCCTGAAGCGTAGGAGCTCAAGTCCTCTCAGTTCAACGCCGGAGCCTGAACAGTTAGAATAGGCCTTTTATGTGGTTTTCAGGTTCCTTCAAGGGTTCTAGAATACGCACTTTCTGTCGGCGCCATAATTAGTAGAATAGGGCTTGCTAGCTTCCAGTACGGGTTTTGTAGTTGGATTTTAATCTTAAGGTTGAGTATAAGAGTATTAATCATTAGAATAGGGTTGTGCGGGGTCTTGTGCTATAATCCTAGTAAGGAACCCCGACGAATAGGGTTTATGTTTAGTCAAGCCCTTATACACCCTGGAGTAGGTGCTTGTTTAACTTTTCTGGCTTCACTGTTCACTGTTTTAGCAGTTGGGGCTTTATGTTTGGAACTTGCGGCTAACCCTAAACCCTAGTGCTTAAGGCCCGCCTTTGATGCTTCAGAGCTGAGTGAACCTTGGGGGAAGGGGTAAGGCTTTAAGGTTAGGCTTCTGGGATTTAGGGTTTAGGGTGTAAGGGTTTGAGGGTGTAAGGCTTCAGCTCAAGCTTAGGGTTCAGGCTTTTCGGGGTGCAAGGCCTGAGGATCACGGCCGCGGGAGGTTGGATGTTTCGGATTCGGGCATTTTCGGGGCTTTGATTGATGATTTGAAGAGGAGTCTTTGGCTGGAACCCCGGGAAGAATCTTGGTAACTATTGACCCTTTTGAGGCTGCTAACCCGAAACCCTAAACCCTCAACCCTGAACTATACTTCTACGATATGGGTGGCGGAAGGGGTAGGAAGCCTGGGTTTCGAAAGCTTGAGGCTTTGGTTCGGCGTCTTTCTCCCAGAGCCTGCCAAAACCCTTAATTACAGAATACGCCTCAACACACAAGAAGACCCCCTATAGCTTGAGGTATAAGAACCCCGCATAGTCAAAGGCATATCCCTTGGTTTCGGGGGTTTGTAATCTATGGGTTACCGGTGCCGAGGGATCGAGGGGACCCTTGCGAATATAGACCCTCGGAATAAGGTCCCTTTTAAGAGAGCCAGAAGTAGGGTTAAGAAGGGTCCCCTTAAATTGAGGGATCTCCCTCCTGCTGCCCAGGAGTGCCTGTGAGGATGTGGCTGCAAGTCTCGCCCAAGCCAAAGCATGCCTCCCCCTCTCTCTTCCAAGGGAGATTCACTGCAAAGATGCCGTCGGGCACGTACCTAGCTACAAGGGCTTCGGATTGAAGATAGAGGGTTCGATGGCCTCTCTCTGCCTCCCTGGTATAGTCAGTTCTATATAAAACTTCGAGACTAATCTCTAGCTGTCCCTTGCTCCGGTACCCCAGATAGGAAGCAAGCCACACCCATAGTCTTCTACCATCTACCGCGAAGCTCTAACCTAAAACCTCCAACCCGAGCGCAAAACTCCACAGCCGCAAACCGAAGGATATGCTGAAACCGGAAATCTAGGAAACAAAACTCTGAAGCCCAAAACCGCCAAAAAGGGCGAAGTCGAGAACCCATCAAAAAAAACTATAAACGCGCAAAAAGCTAATATGAGCCCCGTGAAACCCTACTAAGAGGTCAGGGCGAGGCTCTGATTTCGATTAGCTTCCAGGCTCTCCAGGAAGAGTTGGAAGACTCCCGTGGTCCTGGCGTGAGAGGCTTGGCGTTTAGGGTTTAGGTTTGAGGGCTGAATGTTTAAAGGAAAACCGGAAGTTGTGTAGAGGATTTGTTTGTGCTCTATCGGATCTTACGCGGGTTCCATCACTGCAAAGCTCTGAAACTTACACCAAGAAGCAGCGAGGTCAGCACGACGTCCACTCTCTCGGCGATGACCCAGTCGATAGCCTCCTCGAGGACCGTCATGTTGTCTTGCACCTCATATGCCTTTCGAGTAAATCTCCGGGTCTAACACGGGTCGCTTAATAACCAGAATAGGGTTTTGGGGGTTCCGCATCATGAGGAAAGTATATACAATGGACCCCAAAAACCTTATGGACCTTGATAAGGAGAATAAGGCTTTTGGGGGTTCCTTACTGTCATTTTATGGCATAGTGTACCCCTAAACCCTATTCCAATTATTCAGGGACCTATACGTATTAGAGTCTGGGGGGAAGGGCTGATGGTCTGATGTAGGACCTCCATCAATAGAATGGGCTCAGGAATAATTTTCCTGATTATTCCCACCCCTTGCGGTTTTGAGTCTTTTTGACATGGGGTCATCGTTTCAGGGCTGGCTCACCACAATCACAGCAAACAAAGCAGCATCGGTGTAGGGGGATTTGGAATGAACAGAACAGTCAAAAAGAACAAGTAGGAGAAGAAGACTTGACAAAATTACCCCCCAGCGCCCCCTTTTGGCCCCAACCTTTAATTCAAGAAATACGCACGCCCAAAACCGAGAAGAGCTGGACGCGTTTGAAGGCATATAGAGGTTGAGGCTCCTCGTTCCGGTTCAGCCCTTTACGCCACACCCTCAGCCGCCGGGGCCTCCTCTCCCCAAGGCACTCGGGCTTTAGGGCTTGGAGCTTGGGGTTTAGAATAGGACGGCACGGGCTTTGGGCGTTTGTAGCTTAAGGTCCGGGCTTTGTTTCTGTAGCACCCCGCCTTCACTACATCAAAGCCGTTCGCAGCCAGGTGTTGCAAGGCCCCTTGTCCAACGCCGGTGAAGAAGGTGTTGGTGCCTGGGTTCCCCTGTATCCGGTTAGGGCTTGATCAAGTCTTATATTGTTTTGTGATATATTGTAGGGTGAGACAAGGGCTTTATAAAGGTTTTATACGATGTTTCTACGGCTGCCTTGTCGGCTACAGCAGGACGCAATTTCACGAGGAGAGCCAAGAAAAGAACGAGCAAACAGGCACTGCTTGTTGACCAAGGAGCAGCACCAATAAATCACTGCCGCCTTCTTGGCCCCTTTCAGCGCAAATTGTTGGGCTGCCGTCCTGGCAGCACCCCGCCCCTTCAACCTTCAACGCAAAACGCGATGACAACCTTAAGCCCTAAACCCAAACCTCATAAACCGTAAACCCCTAACCCTTATAAACTTACTTTTGAAGCCTAAACCTCGCTCAAAATCTAACCTTATAAGTAAGGCCGCCAGAGAACCCTCCTTATCCCTGATTTATGGAATCGAGCCTGCAGTGCAATATCGAGCCCGCTATAACTTGAGGTCAATGCTGTAATTTGGGGTATTGAGACCCGTTGAACCTTGAGAAATGCTTGCACACGCCCTATGAAATCCGCTAAAACCCCGCATGGAACCCAAACATCTCTATGACGAAAACAACGAAAATTGGAACCTCTGTGAGCAGCCGTTTTGTTTCCAATAAATTTTCAGTAAAACAAGCTTTTGCACCAGTACCTTTTCAAATAACATCGAAACACCGCTGAAGCAAACCCACCTCCTGCGTCAGGAAAAAAGGCTCGGCCCGCTGAGAAATTACTCGAGTGATGAATTCACTGTGGCCGAGGGATTGAAGCATGTCCGGTCCAGCAACATGTGGCAGCCGGGCTCCTGAATACAGAGGAAGACCCAGACAACGACTGCAAGCCAAACGTCTTGCAGTTGAAGCAAAATACTCCTCGCTCTGCATCTCGTCCGCAAGGTCCGCCATCCGCTTGACCACAGCACCCGCGATATCTGCGCTCACATCTGTGCTCCTCAAAAACATACACTTCTACTCGGTCCCTGCGAGTACTGGCTGAGGTCGTAGCCGAGCTTGCCAGCACACCCACTCCGCAAGAGCGTGGTTGGAAGGAAAGCTACCCCGTCCTTGCTATGCTGCTCCCGAACGCACCTGGATGCATGCTATGATTGCTCTAAAATACCCTCCTATGAAGCATGAGGACTCGGAACCACTCTCACTCCCGCAACCTGCGCCCACCACCACCCGTGCTTCCATAGAACCCACGGAAAGCATAAGTGCGCCACGCAAAATGTCCAGGAGTATATTACAATCAGTTCGCTGGGGCTCGAAGGGCGCTCACTGACTCCAGCAGGAACTTGCCTCGGGTTCAGCAGGCATGACGCAGGCACGGCCCGCCACGTGTCATGCTTCCGAGGCGCTGAAGATGTAGAGCGGAGACAGACAAGGAGCATCAGTGCGGCCACGGCAAAGGTGCGCGGGAAGCCTCACTGGACCAAGAGGCCGGCATCAGCTGCATCTTAAGATTGTCTTCAGCGGCAACAGCGATGCCGGGCCTTGGTCAGCATCCAGGAGCTTCCTGCCGCAGGTGAATGCCGGGTCGTCATGCTTCGTTGGAGGGTGCACCTGTTACCAGCGACTCGAGACGTGGAGCCGTGCAGCAGCACAGAAGCTGCACAACGCCGACCGCATGGAAGATGGCATATCGAATGGAGAAGAGGGCGTTTTGGACCTGATCAAGCTCTGTGGCGCCACGGTCGACTCGGATGACAATGCTTGCGCCCACCTAACTGTCAGTTCTTTCATCTTGTCAAGCAGAGCACGTGCGCGAGAAGTTGTTCCACGAGCAGCCTTGCCGTTTGTTGGCAAGCGGGCAATTCGGCATACGGCCTCGGAGACCGCCTGAGTAATCATTGCGTGTTCCGTGAAAGAATCACAGCAAAGAGCGGGCCACTGCAGTGCAGCGGCTATGGCCTTCGCGCACGCCGAGATCTTAAGCAGTCACATAGCTTGGCGATGCGTCGACTCAGCTGGCCCAGAGCTTGCAACAAACCTTCGGCTCTTTGGCCAAGACTTTTCCATGGGCTGCCTGGCATTTGGCCCAAAGGCGCTACTGCCTGTCCGGGGCCACGCTCGTCCCAAAGCAGCATGACCTTTCCCCCCCTTTCGTTTTCTGGATCTCGTCCAGCTAGGGCAGTGGATCGGGACGTCGTGCAATTAGAACTGCTGCTACCGAGCATTGCTGTCTGTGTGTCGGAGTCAGGGTTTATAAAAGATTACCGCTGCGTCCGAGACCTGAGACCTGATGATTGCCCGCTGTGCCTGAAGGTGTATGCCCCCTTCTCAGGCTCTGCTTTGACGGGTGTTCTTGGTCTTTTCACCTGATGGAGCGGCGATTGCTTTACACTTTTGTGTGTTCAGAGAAAACGAGCCTTGTTGTGGTTCTTCCGTCTTTTTCCCTGATACGCGGCTGAGCATGGTTCTGTGATTCTTGTAGCTGTGCAAATCGAACCTTGGTGTTCCTCTTGACCTCCTGTTTCGTCAACCACAGGTCTGGGTGTTCGGGGACCTTCTCGACAACTAGGATGTTGATTGCCTCAAACAAACTGAACAGCAAAAATCACTGCTTGCGATGCTTAGCTTTGGGGAACGGGCGCTGCCACTTCCGGCTCGTGCAACTCCATTTCCTTTGCGAATATGCAACCTGAGTCCGTGCCTCGGCTCGGTTCTTCGGCATTTGCTTTTCCTTGCTTGTATGGATGATGGGTGCGACTGCGGGTACTGCAACCAGGTAACCCTAAACCTAGAAGCTAAGCTAAGCCTTACGCCTAAACTATCTAAATCTGACCCCTCAAAACCCGTAAACCCTTAACCGGATAAAGAACAACTTTGCAGCACTTTCGACCCTGACGTTTTTGTTCAAAAGCGATCGGTAGGTCGAGGGCGAAAGAGAGCGAGACAGAGCGAGAGCGAGAGAGAGAGAGAGAGAGAGCAAAGAAAAAAAAAAAAAATGTGCACACAGGAAGAGAAGGCTGTGGAACGTTGTTCAACCCCTTCTTTGTTCTACTCTAGTCAAGAACCCATTTCTTTCTCCAGAGCTCCGGGAATAGTCCCAGGAGTCGAGGTGGCTGCTGAAAGCCCAGGGGAGGGGACCGCCTCGCAGAGAAAAGAGCCGAAGAAACGTGAGGTTATTTGGATGGTTGTCGAAATTATGGGCCCTTTTTGGGTCCTTAATATAATACGGCACCTAATATTTTGGGTACCCAAAAAGGGACCATAATCTTGACAACCACCCATTTACAGACCACGCCACAACAGTCCTTTCGGAATCCCTTTTGTTCATGGGAGGCCTGTAAATTTATCAGAATTTCAACAATTGTCAGGTCGTGTAGGTGTACTATATGGAGGCTCTACTAAAGATTCACCGCTTCGGCTTTCGCTAATGCTTGGGTTGTTTGGTTTCGGCTTCTGTGCATTTCAGGATTTGGGGAGTCATTCTCACGGCAGGGTGTTAACGATTCCGCCATTGGAATATCCATTTGGTTTGGGGGTGGGCTTTGCTTCTGTTGCCTTGAGACGTGAGGCTGGTAAATCTTTCATGGGTGTAGTTTTAGAAGCGCATGTTCGGCGAGGTTGTAACCTTCAAAGGCATACTGTGACTTCGGTGGTCGTGGTTTCGGTCGTAGGCTCATTTGTTGGTGTGTGCTTAATGACTTTGGACAGCTGCGTTCTGAGGATTGATACGTACTTGGAGGCCCAGGGGACGTAGTGAGTAGGTTATAAGTAGGTTTATAATTGAGGTAACTCCGTTTAGGGCACTTATAACCCTACTTATAACCTACTTACTAAGTCCCCTGGGCCTCCAAGTACAGCTTGCAGCAGGCTCGGGCTTCTAGGATTGAAGTCGGTTGCTTTACGGGTGCAGGGACTACGGGAGGGTGTGGGGTTCAGTGTGTCACGGGGCGCTAAACCTGTCGGCATGAACACTTAAAACTGCAAAACCAACAAACTATAGAATCGGAAGACTTGAACAACAGTAATGCATGCCGACAGTCTTCTGGATGTTAGAAAACATAAATCCTAACCGTAGTGCTGAACCACCCGGAGCAGGGAATGAGGGTTGAAGTAGCATGAGGCGGGAAAACCCCAGAGCCCTTGCTGGGCTTAGGGTTTTTAGGGGTCTAGGGTTTAGGGTTAAAGGTTTGTCCGATAATCCGAAAGAAGCATGCATTCACGAGGGCTTTGGGTAGGCTTAACTACCCCGATGCCCGTTCGCAATCAAGAACCACACCTGACATCTTAAATCCTGCCAGGCTCAGGGCTTAGGGAGGTCAGGGCGTTTAGGTTTTTTAAGTTGGGTGGACGTCCTTCTTTGTCTGTCTGCCAAGGGTTTAGGGCGTGGGCTTTCTAGGACGAAGTGTGGTGTGAACGGTTTAGCGTCCGCTCACCCCCAACGCGCGAGCCTGTGGATCTGGACATCTGGCTCCAGGGGCCGCGCGGCGTCATCCAGATTCTCTTCGTTGCATTGGCCACCTGCAAAACGGGAGGGTTTATGTCGTGTAAGTGTAGATGGACCATAAGAGGATGAGATTCTGAGACCCATTATTCCGACTGCTATGCTAAGCTAGGTAGACTCCGGTGTACACAAACACACCATCATTTCTCCAGCCCGAGCAGATAAGGCTGAATCATGATGAGAGTAGTCATACGAATCAACTTACCCCCTAACCTCCGGTCCCAAGCCTCTACACCCTGAACCCGTTGTTGAACCGTTATGCAACCCTGTACAACTGTGCAACCCTTACAGAGACTCTACCTGATGCCCAACCTGTGCTCTCCCAAACCCTGAATATTTATTTGGTTCACCCCTACACTGCTAAACCCCAAAGCCCTACCCTAAACCCTAAACCCTAAACCCTAAACCCTAAACCCTAAACCCTAAAACCCTAAAACCCTCAACCCTAAACCCTCAACCCTGGACTCGGACGAGCCCATCCTTGGCTTGCTCCACCACGTGAAAGTCATTGCAGCCGTTGCCGATGCCAGGGATGAAGGACCAGGAAGGAAAGTGCTGAAAGCTCAGGGCCTGCCAGGGCCGAAAAAGGCCTTCTTTGAGGCTTCGATGAGGGTGTTCTGCGGGTTTCGAACGGTGATATATATATATATATACATATATATATATATAAGGGTTCCGTAAGAGGAGAAGGGTTCTAGAAGGGCTCCATAAGGACAGGGTTTATGGGTTGGGGTGTTTACGGTTGGGGGGCTTGAGTTTAAGGCTGCGTAACTTCACAACTTTACATGATGCTACGGACAGGGGTAGACGGGTGTCACATTTGCAGGCTCCAAACCCTGAACCCTAAATCCCTAAACCCTAAACCTGAAAAGTCTGAACCCTTAAACCTGTATTGGTTTTCAGGACGGGTTCGGCTGCAGTGTTTAAGGCCTGGGGTTCTTTAATGTTTAAACATAACTCTATAGGGATATCAGTAGGGGCCATAGAATGATCCCTGTCTAGAGCCCGGTGTCCATCCGGAACGGGGCTCTGACTAGCCCTAATATGACCTGTAGCCGCGCCCCTTTTGAAGTTTGGGCCTTTATGGCAGGTATAATTACCCATAACCCCATATCAAGCCTGTCTAAAACCTTTGGTAAAACCGTCTCAATTTTTAGTTACCTTGAACCATATTACATCATTTACGGAACATTCCCTAATTGTGGGGCATTGGGCTCGCGGGCAACGCGTCCTCTCCCTGAGTCCAGTTGTCTTCGTCGAAGGTCAGGCGGGTGTAGTTTAGTCGGTAGTAGTACTTCCTCGGCGCTTTGGGTTCATGCTTTCTGAGTCTATGGGCTTTTTTGTTTTTGGGGTTTCTCTTCCTCGGCGTTGGAATGCTTGTTCTTTGAGCTTCGGCCTGGGTTTGGAGTTGATGGCTCAGGGGTTTAGGGCAAACGGGTCTTGCTGCTTGCTGGTTTTGGGCGTGTAGAAACCCCCTTTCGATGGTCTAGGGCCTGCTGCCGCCCCCAAAAAAACCCTAGACCTTAAACGTAGACCCTAAACCACACGCCCCGAATGCTTGGAACATTCCTTAATTCCCTTCTAGAGCCCTTCTAGATCCGTTGAAGGATCCCTTTAAGGAACCCATTCCTTCATCTCAATATTCAAGCATATTCTTTCATCGCAATCGATGCCGGAGGTTCGGTTTTGGCGTCGATTGTGCGATCTCCAAGCCAGCAGAGTGCACCTGGATGCCTGAAGCATGGACTGGCTTAGGGTTTTGGGTTTAGGGTTTAGGGGTTTAGGGTTTAGGGACGGCCCGGAACTGCTGGTGAACAGGCAGCTCCGTACAACCACCAAGGAAATCCAAGAATTTTGAAGTGCCCTCTGTTGGAGGGTTCAAGGAGTTCCGGCGTTCAGGGTGCGGGTTTGGGGTTGAGAGCTTCGTTGCAGTGCTGCGGTCGCTTTCAATGTAAAAGAGTTTGTACGGCGCCTACAGAAGTCAGACAGCCTAAACCCTAGACCAGGCTTTCCGACTTCTAAGCCTGAAACTTTGAAGGGGGCTCTTTAAGAGGCGCTGCTGTGGCCTCCCTACTCTCGGTGGGTTCCGGATTTAAATCTGGGGCTTAGATGGCCCTAAACCCTACCTCAGGGCTTAGTTCCGAGGGAGTGAGGCCCCTGCAAGACCGAACTGGAGTAGCATGTGTGTGCAAAACCAGAAACGGATTCGGGCAGTTGAAGTTTAGGGTTTAGGGCTTGGGGTTCAGGGTTTAGGTTTTAGTATCTAAGAATCTACTAGGAGCTTGTGTAAAAAAATAAAGATCCCTATACTTACCCTTATTGCTACCCTGATAAGAACCCTGAAAGACGCCCTTGAATAAACCCTGAAAAGAACCCTATTTCGATTCTGAAAAGACCCCATCCTCTGGCAGCTTCTTTCATCATCGAAACCTTAATATACCCGTATAAATGAACCATGACAGACCTTTCCACCCCATACTGAATACTTCTCTAAACCCCAAACCCTCAACCCTCAACCCTGAACCCTACTGCTGATGGACAAAATCCTGCAATACCCATTATAAGGAAGATACAATAATTCCCATAGTTTAGAGTCCTTAGGCCTTAGGGTCATGCAGGATTTTGTCCATCAACAGTATGAATGGCTTCCCTTTTCTCTTCAGAGCCTCGTCCTTCATTCAGGCTGTTCACCGCGTCGATGTATGGCCCAAGGGACCTGCCGTCGCAATCCTTCGTTGCCCGAAAAACTCGACGTTGTTGGATATAGGGTTTAGGGTTTAGGCTTTAGGGTTTAGGGGTTAGGGGTTGGGGGATGGGGTTGACTGTCTAGGACTTAGGCTTAGAGCTTGGACGGCTTAGGCGGTCTGTGGTTTAGAGTTTAGGGTTTAGGGTTCAGGGTCCAGGGTTTGGCTTTTGAAAGCCGGTGGACCTGCATAAGAGCGCGGTACACCCCATAAACCCCAACTAGCAGCAAGGCCCCCGCAAACCCCATCGAATCCATCCAAATTGCTATATAATCCTCATATTCAACATCTGTACATCTGCCAAAACCCTCTCGAACCCTCTAGAACGGTCGAAGATCCTCTGAGACCCTCTACACACCTCGTGAATACCACCGGCTAGCAAGCGTCGTTTTCGATCATCGCCCGGTCATCGCGATCGAAGCCAGGACCGATCCGGTCCCGGAACTCGAAGACGCTCCCAATTTGCAGGTAGCAGGGCTCCTTGTGAACGGTTTGGTGTTTTGGGGCTTAGAGTTGAGAGCTTAGGGTTTAAGGATTTCGGGTTTAGGTTCTGCTTCAAGGGTTTAGGGCGTAGGGCTAAGGCCTTCGGGTTTAAAGCTTAGTGCTTTGGATTGAAGGTTTTGGAGTTTAGACTTTGGAGTTTGGGGTAAGCTCTAGCTATGCCTGTAACTCAAGCGAGCGGGCACTTCATTGGCCTTCAAAACAGCCTTGCAACGGGATTTAAGCCCAGAGACTCCAATATCCCTTAATTAAGGGATAAACCTTAAATTATAGTAGCATCCCAAATATGATTTGAGGTCTATTCCCTAATCAAATGATATTGCACTCGCCCAAGGCTCCGTCGCATCCCACGTGCAGGGAGGTGCTGCCCCGGCTAGCAGCCAGAGGGCCACAAAGAGGCCGCAACGCGGCATGGCCCGAAGGGGTACACCCCCGAGTTTCAAACCCTAAATCCTAAGCCCCAAATCGTGAACTCTTTCGTAATCACCAATCATCCTAAATCGAAATGCTACGCCCCAAAGCCGCCCCAACTAAGTTCGACGTGTCGGACCTCCTCCCCCCGTGGGGGTCTGGAGCCAGACTTCTCGGGTTCTTGTGCTTTTTTGGGTGAGGGCGCGCAGGGGTGAAGTGGGAGAGGGGCGGCTAAACCCTAAACCCTAAACCCCTAAGGCTCAGGGTTTGGAGCTTGTGGTGGTTCAAGGCGTTAGGGTTTTGAGCTATCGGAGCTCAAGCCTCTCACGGGGTTTCCACTTTAGGAGCGAGGGCTCAGAGCTCACAGTTTAGGAGCTTTGGGGAGTTTTTAGGAGCTTTGGGGAGCTTTTAGGAGCCATGGGGAGTTCCCTGTCTCGCGGCTGGTGCTTGAAAAACCGCGCCCGCAACTTTTCAACTTTCGGATCTTCTCAGCAGCATCATGTCACCTGTAGGAACCTGCTCTGCATCCGCAACAGTTGAGGATCCGCTGTTATGACCACAAGACCTACCTTTGGCTAGTAGGGAATGGAGGAATGGGGTACAAGTATAGCTACTATTACTACCATTCTTCCAATCCCTACTAAGCGAAGGTAAGAATTATTTTTTTTGTTATTATTCTTCTTCTTATTATTATTATTATTCTTATTATTATTCTTATTCTTATTATTATTAGTATTATTATCCCAAATCTTGTAACCGAAGGTAAGAATAAGAACCCAAGGCTTTCTTCAAGCCAGTTCCTAGCTCGGTGAATAGCAGAGGCCGGCACCCGTCTGCTATGACGAGCGCTTGGCATTGGCAACTTCGTTGACAGGACAGCCCCAGTTAAGAGGCACTGGGCTCTCTGGAACCAGGGCTGTACTCGTGATGATATGTGAGTTTCCGAAAATTAGGGGTACCGTATTTTAGGGTCCATATAACAAGGATCCTACTAAAAGGGTCCTATATTAGGGCCCCTATTTTCGGAAACCCCCCATATGCTCCTACCTAAACCCGTGTCGAACCCTTATTGAGCTCCTTCAAAACCCATTCGGGCTTCTATGTACAACCCTGGCTGCTGCACGATCCGGCAGTGGAGCTACCTCCTGCAAACTCTCGACGATTGAAGTCGCACCCATGATAAGAATATGCGATGTTGGGGTATTTTATTGTAGAATCACAGCGGGCTACGAGCAGAAAAGGCATCCATCTGTTCAGGCCTCGATATAGACCCCGAATGTCGCAACATCTTCAGCATGAATCTTGAAGCAGAGGGTGTGAGATTTAGGGCTTGGGAAGGCCTCAACTTAGAACACCCCAACACAGGGCTCCCACCAAAGCCTTACCTGCAAAACACATGTGGCAAGGTTTAGGGCTTCAGGGATAAGAGGTTCCAACATCTTCTGGAACTGCACATCTCAACCCACACCTGTGTGATGGCTTAGGGTCCCTGAACCCGAACCTTTTCTATTTCTTACTGAGTTTAAGTGCCTATAAGCATGTAAAATGATACCCAGATATGACAAAGGATAGAACGTCATGGCTTAAAAACCTGAAACCCTAAACCCTGCTGACGGCGTTGTGGACTTCGAGCTCAAGGTTCGGTGGTTTACATTGCCCGAAAAGAGATGAAACTTCAATATGAAACTCACTTCCCTAAACCTGAACCTTAAAAAGCCCCAGTTTAGGATTTATAGGGCTTATAGGGTTTAGAGGGTTTAGGGTCAAGTGAAACCTAAACCCTTAACCCAAACCCTGAAGCCTCAAGCCTCAAAGCGCCGGTTGAGAGGGCACAGCACAGGGGGCTCCAATAGCCGGGTGTCAGGTGTGCAGGCATCCTTCGAAAAGCAAGCATTGCAACCTCTGCTTCAGGATTACCGGATTACCCCTTTTTTGAGCTAAAATGCCTGGGGTTTATGGTTTTAAGTTGAGGGTTGAGGGCTTTTTGGGTTGAGGCTTATGGTTTTCGAGGGTTTGCACATACAGAAGTCGTTTCGAGAGTGTTTAAGCCCCATGGCCCCGATGCGCAGCCCTAAGTTTATATCTAACACAAGGGCCTGAACGTCTAAACTTGGATTTCGGGAAGCTTTATTCTATCAGCGTGTTCGGGAAACACTACAAAATACCACTACAACGCATTCAGACGACTCGTTCGGCCTTTATTTGTCCAGGATGGGCTCTCCAACAGCGCGACCAACTCAAGAATCGTCCCCGACAACTTCCGCACTTTAAGGCCCGAGACATATAGACCCGAACCTCTAAACCCCATAAACCTAAACAAATACCCTTGCACCCTACATCCGTCAGCCCTGGCGCCTACCATAGGGGCCTTAATAATTAGAAGAGGGTGTTGGGGCATATTACAGTATACTATACATAATCATAATAGGGAACCCGTATTGGTAATTATTAACGCCCCTGCAGTAAGTCATGAAGCCCTTTGCAGTTCTACAAGAGCCCGTTTCACAAACCCTAAACCCTAAACCGTTTCAGGGTCTCGGGATTGGGTCCCCACAAGACTCTGAGAGCATCACATGCAGGCACTTGATTCGGGGGTTTAGGGGTTAGGAAATCTTAAGGTTTGGGTTTCGTATCACAGTTTTTTTCTGAACTGCGATACGTTTCGGGGTGAAGCATCCTGGCGGCATGCTTGGGCATCACGTGCATAAGAGGAGGTCTGGGAAGCCACCAGAACTATCCAACGTTGGTCGAATTCCAAAAAACTGCTACTGCGAAGCCAGCTGGTCATCATGTGAGAGCTGCTTCACGTGGTTCAGGACGTGCTCGTAGCCACTGCGAACCTTCACCAGACAAGTATCTGGGCCGTTTTCGAGAGTAGGGTCCCTTTTAGGATCCTGTTGCTAAGGTTTCCCTAGTATATACTGGGGACTTAAACAGGGACCCTAATTTAGAGAAGTACCCTTTGGTACCAAGAAAGCTATGAAAGAAGCTTACTTGTTTTGGTTTAATTTAAGAGGGGTCCCGCACACAGCTGAGGGCTTCAGGTCGAGAATTTAAGGCCCAAGAATTTCCCCTAAACCCCAAACCGTAAACCCTAAACATCCCTAAACCGTAAACCCTAAAACCTACACCCTAAACCCTAAAACGTAAGCCAAAAGCAACAAAGCTCCTCGAAGCCTAGCAGTCAAGGAGGAAAGCAAAGGGAGCCGGGAACGGACGATGCGGCATGAATGGGATCATCCTATCCAGAGACTCCAACATCCCGCAAATAAGGAAGTCTACCTTAAATGATATTAGGGGTCCTACTATAATTAAAGCCATATTCCTTCATTAAGGAGTACTGGAGTCTCCGGCTACATGCTCAACCTTACAAGGCTTGCGAAACAATCTTCTTAAGACCCGTGCAGAACCCTTAAACACTGCCTTCTACTATACGGTGCCTAAACCCCAAAAACCCTGAACACAACGACCTGCTTTTCTGCTGCCTTCCCGTTTGTAGCGCACTGCCATCTTGGCAGAGCGCTCTTCTCAGAGCACGTCGGTTTCCAGGCATCGGGCCAAAGAGCGTACATTTTCGGGTTTAGGGTCTAGGGCTCCGGGGCTCTAGGGTTTTGAGGTTTTAGAGTTTGGGATTTAGGATTAGTTTACGGCTTATGGTGGGGGGCAGGGGTTTCTACTCACCGCAGAAACCTCCTTAAGTTTTGCAGAAACCCAAATCCCTAAACTTCTTCAACCCTAGAACCTTCAACCTATAATCAAAAAACCCTAAACTCTAAAGCCTATACCGTAAACTGCATTCAGAGTTGAAGCTTGCGGGGCTGCGCCCGGATCGACCCCTCCGGCATGGCCGCCTGCAGGGTTTAGGGGTGTAGGGGTTTAGGGTTCGGGGTTCAGGTTTTAGGTTTTTTTTTTAAGGTTTTAGGGTTTTAGCGTTTAGGGTTTGCCGTAAAGTGGCGCATAAGCGGATTTATCTTGCGACACTCTAGTTTCGAGTGCGTCCCAGTATGACGATTAGCCGTTGGAGCCAATTATGGACGGCTCTTTTTTTTTAACTCTCCCACCCACGCCGTCTAAGGCGGCCAAACCACGCAAACTTAGTCCTTTTAGGGGATAACACCTTGACTCATTCCATCGTTCTTTTTGTTTTAACTATTTCTCCATGCTTGTTAGCATGCGGAGCAGGGCACGGCTTTGTTTTCGGTCTTCGGCCTGGGGGCCCGAGGTCCTGCTCGCTGGAAGCACCAGGCCCTTTTGGGCTGTCCCTTTCGGAGGAGGTTTTGGGGTTACGGGAAGGTTTAGGGTTTAGGGTGTACCCTGGCCCTAAGCCCCAAATGTCAAAACCCCGAACCCTGACCCCGGAATTCGCAAATCAGCAAAAATACGGGCTTTAATACTTACCAATACTATTTTGGGGCTCCGTTGTGCATAAAATATACTGGGCCCACAAACCCTATATAGTCTAATTACTCAGGCCCCTACGCTACTTCGAAAGTAGGGCATCGGGGCATGGTTAGATTTTCAGTGTTTTCCGATTGAAGGTCGAGGATTTATGGGCTTGAAGATTTAGGAGGTTGAGGACATGTAATAGGGATCTATAGTACAAAACAGGGCTTCCTTATCCTGGTAACCTGAAGAAGAGCACAGCCAAGGTAGGAAGTTGAGGACATCTCAATGCTTTATTGCATAACTCTGTCAAGAACATCGAACCCCCATTTAAAACGACACTCTACAGTACTCTAATTACCAAGCCCCCTAGACTATAGAACCCGTATCGTAACCCATATAGATAGAAGCTTTATCGCAACGAACCCCCAAAAAACGCCCCAATGCACGTATCCCGGAGATGTCACACGACTTTGTCGGCCTGCGGCTCGGGCGGGCTCTTGCTGAAGTCCACATCGAACTCCTTGTACTTCGGCAGCCCGTCCCTTTTCAGGGTTTTTTTTTAAAGGGGCCTTTTTGGTTCCGCACGAAGTGTGCGAAAAGGTTTAGGGCAGAGGGTTCTGGAGTTAAGGTTTGGCTTAGGATTTGGTTTAACGTTTAGGGTGTCTTCCTGCGCAGGGGAAGGCAATCCATGCTGAGATGGTGCCACCTCACACCACGGCATGCGGGTGGTTTCGCGTCTAATGTGTTGTGATAGATCTCGGTGAAGCCGGCACCCCCCACTGAACTCCCCGCACCAATTCGTACCCCCCAACACCCACTGCATTTTGACAAGAGCACGAGTCCCATCCCAAAATGTGCAAAGGATTTGGCGGCTTGGCGGGCGCATGATTTTTGGAGGCGGGAAAAGGACTCGCTGCCAAAATGTGCGTAAAATGTGTGTCTCGCTGCGGCGCTCTCGCCTCAGCTCCGACGCCTGATGAATACTCGGACTAGCTTTCCAAGATAGCCAGAATGAATGCCTCCGCTGCTAAATCTTCTCTCCTTTTGTTGCAGCTGCCGCAGCGACTGCGGACTGCGCGACTAAAACCTGCATGGCACTATGGCTGCTGCACATCAGCGACCCTGGCCGAGCCCGCACCAGCGGCTGAAGTCACCGTCTTAGCTTTGTACAAAACATATGGCCACAAAACAGTCTCCTGCATTCATATCCTGATTGCAGGTGCAGTGGCATGCCCTCGATAAAGCGGCAGCGTGCAACACTTGCGCTATGTCTGGGCCATGCAACGCCCAAAGCACAAGCACGACCTGCAAGCTGGGTGACTGCAGCAACCAATTTGAATCCTGGTGGGTCGCCACTCCAGCTCTCAGAATGGCTTGCCAAGCCAACTTGTAAACTAGACATGAAAAAGACATGACGGTCTCACTGCAGGTGCCAGTCGAAGTCTCAACAACCAAAGTGAGCAACACGTCAACACCAAACACAGGGGCGGCGTGCAACAGTCTGATCCTGCAGATATGACACGACAGAACGGCAGCCAAGTCAAGACCTTCAAGCTATCTTTTTCAGACATTCTGGTGCCGTTGGTGCGTGCAGGGAGCGCGTCTTGCTTGCATGTGTGGTGTCTTCACTTTTGCAGCGCATGCACCGCAGGGATGGGTCGTGCGAACTGCGGCAAACTTAGCTAAGCGAGTGAGCGACTGAGTGAGCACGTGCATATCCAACAAACACGCTTGTTGGGCGCGCACAACACATGCACCCTACACGCACACTGCAAACAGGTCGGCACATGCCGCAGAAAGAAAAGTGCTCCGTACGCTCAGCGACTAGACAACAAGTGTATTTCGTTCGTTCATTCATTCATCCGTTCGTTCATTCGTTCGTTCATTTGCGCATTCATTCGTTCATTCATTCGTTCATTCATTCATTCATCCATTCATTCATTGATTCATTCATTCATTCATTCATTCATTCATGCATTCATGCATTGATTCATGCGGAAATTCATGCAATCATTCATGCAACCATCCATGCATTCAATGCAGTCATGCATTCGTTCTTTTGTTCGTTGATTATCTATTTCATTCCTTGTTTCATGCATTCATCGCTCGCTCACTGACTTACTCATTCATTCATGTATTCATTCGTTCATTCGTTCACTCATTCATTCATTCCGTTTGTCGGTCACTGCGTCTGTCCGTCAGTCAGTCAGTCGGTCAGTCAGTCAGGCAGGCGGGCATTTGTTCTTGCACGGAGCTCTTTGGCACAGGCCACGCCATGATTCAAATAGAAGGCGTCGTTGCACAGCCTTGGAAAGTCATCAGAAGGACGAGCGCTGGGAGCATTGGCCTCTAGCCAGGGCATCGCCTGGAGCTGTTGAGCCAGCAACAAAGCAACACCCTAAACCCCAAACCCTGAACCCTAAACCACATCCCACGATGCTGAACACAAGCCTCTTGCACTGTCCGGGGTTCGGACAGGAAAGAACAACAGGAAGCACAGCATGATAGCAAAAAGAACTGATTCAGTGATCTGCATGAGCTCAAGTCAAAGCCTCAACATGCAATGCAGTCCAGCAAACAAAGATTGCGGTACAGAACAAGAGTTCAAGATCCAAGAGTTGTGCAAGACGTGAGCCACCAGACTGAAACTCTCTAACCATATCCTGATAGAGTTTCAAGCTGATGCTTCCCACACTGGGTATGTAAAGCCAGACGGCTCTGCGAAGACTCACTGGCGGGCTTTCTGGGTGTTCATGAAGGAATTCTACAGTGGCTGGCAGGCGAGGCGGTACCCTCTACAGCCCAGATCGGACTGTCTCTCTTAATCAGCACCGGACATGGGTAGGAACCGTTGGATGGGAAATTAGGGTTCAGGTTTTTCGGCCCATTTCGGGGTTTGTAAGGGGTGTCTACGGGTTCTACAGTCTATAGTTTGATAAGGACGCTACACTGGTTTCATGGAGATGTTAGGATTTCAGGCGTCTCTTTGAGGTCTGAAAACAGGTTCCGTAAGGGTTCTCTAGGGTACCGTTCACCAGAGCGCTTCGAAGAGCTCTACAATACAAAGGCTCGACAAAGGGTTCTATCAGGGTTCTTGTAAGGTTACTAACAGGGTTCCACGATCAGCGTTACGGGTGATGATATAAATCCTGCATAACCATACCAATACTAAGGAAGATACTTCCCATAGTTTAGGGTCCTTATGGTAATGCAGGAGTTCTATCATCAACCGTATGAAGGATTCTGAAGGAACTTTCGGGTCCAGGGCTTGCAGATTTGGAGAAATTTCAGAAAGGCTTAGGGCTTGGGGCCTTGGGGCCTCTGGGAAGTTTGAAGGTTCCCGGCATCGAGATCGAGGGAGGAAGCTCTCGAACCTGTCAACCCTGCGCCTAAGCCGAAGGCACGGGCGAAGAATCAGTATCCGAAAGACTCGTCACAATCAACAGGTTTTGGAAGATTTTTTGACCCTAGCTCTATGCCCTGTGTAAAGGGTTTAGGGTGTATTAATAAAGGGCTTAGGAATCTTGCCTCTCTAAACCCTGCTCAGGGGGTTTTGGGTCGAATAGGGTCTTGGGGCATATGATACTAAACCCTAAACCCTAAACCCTAAACCCTAAACCCCTAAACCCTAAATACTGTAAGTATAATAAGGAACCCCCAAAACCCTGTTCTACTTCTTAAGGACCCTTCAGGCCCTTTGGGGTTTAGGGGCATATGATACTGTATCTATAGTAAGGAACCCCAAAAAATCCTATAGGCCCTTTAGGGTTTAGGGTTTAGGGTTTAGGGTTTAGGGGTTTGGGGTTTAGGGTTTAGGGGTTTAGGGTTTAGGGGTTTAGGGTTTAGGGGCTCTTGTGCCTCACATCCACGACCCGGTTCTCATAAAAGATGTGCGCACGAGGCCAGACTTCCTCTGGTATCTCAGTGCCTCCCAGGGCTGCTAAGAAGTTTCTACTAGGTTTTCTAGGAAACCTAAGTTTTAGAAGTTCCCACTAGGCTTTTCTAGAAAATTAAGGTTCTCTAGAATAAAACCTGGAAGGAGTTCATGCGGTTTCTTAAGGGTCCTAGACTTGGAATAATGTGCTGTACTGCAACTAGATATCGAGTGTATGGATAACATGTACTACCTTACGGTTCAGACCTCTGTATTGGAGTGCTTTCGGCGGGACTTCTCGGGCTCCCGCGGGCTGGTGTCAAAGCTTACGGCTTAGGGCTCAGGGTTGAGAGTTGTGGGATCCAGGTTTGGGATTTCAGGAGCTTAGGGTCTAGAGCTTAGGGTTTAGATTCGTTACCTATCGCAGTTCAGGCTTCGGGCTTCTAGTTCAGATGGTTTAGGGACTATGACTTGGGCCTTAATTTGTTTAGAATTAAGGAACCCTCAAGTATAGTATAGGTAACTATTGAGGCCCCTTTTGGTAAGCTCTTGTTCATGGCTCTGGCTATGAGGGAGCTCGGAACTTAGACTTTCGAACGCTGGGCCCTCGCAACCTAAACGCAGCCTCTGTGTGCCCTCTCAGTCCAAAACCTCATACGCTCTGCACGCTAGTGTATATCGCTTGGGTTTTGCAGCCGCACAGTGAGTTTGTGCAACTGTTAAGGAACTTAGTGTAGATACCAGGGTATTTAGTCATGAACAGGTGTTCCTTGTCAGTTATCTTAAGTTAGGTGTAGGAGCACCCTGTCCAGACTTTTGCTATGTCGGCACCCTCACCAGCCTTGGGCAAGCATGGCGATCGGCACCATGCGCAAGCCGCCCCCCTGCGACAAGAAAAACCGAAGACGTAAAACCCAAACCCCAAAAGCCCAAACACCCTACCGCCCCAGACCCGCTGCGGCCCTGAAATTCCAAACCCTTCAACCCAGAACCCTTCTCTCCCAAACCACGAGGCCGCAAACCCCTTAACCCCGAAACAGATCTGAAAACCCGAAGAGAAACACGCGTAAACTCTCCCAAATCCGACAAGCATTCCGGCCTGAAACAATGACTCTCGTTTGAAGCAGTTCAGGGCCTATATGGCTTATAGGGCATATAAGGGTTATAAGGCTTGGGTTTTCAGGGCTTTAATAAAGGGTTAAGGCGTGACGTGGTGAAGCGAAGATGACACTTCTGACGGACATTCGGTGCTTCCGTGCACAATCGAACCTTCTCGTGCAAGGCTTCAGGACCTAAAGCCTCAACCCTGAACCATAAACCCTGCTCGGGTTTTTCTCGAAAGGGCTTATGGCTGCGGGAGTAGAGCTTAGGGTTTTGGGTTTAGGTTTTAGGGTTGGTTTAGGGTCTAGGGCTTAGTGGGGCCAACTGAGGACTCAGGCTTCTGGCTTTATCAAGCCCTGGCTTGTGCCTCCTCGTAGAGATGCGATCCACACCTGCAAGTTCGCATGGTCGCTGTACGAAAAACCGGGTGTAGGGTTCAGGGGATAGGGCGTGTGGGACTTATAGATTCTTGGGGTTTGGGGTGTCGCTTAATTAAAGCCGGCATGTCTGTTGGCAAGACTGAACACCGACGTTACAGTTGAAGTCATGGTGATAGCAACCACAGACGCAACGGCAGTAGCAAAATGTCAGTAGTCAGTAGCAGCATTCGTGGTGGTCGCCGTCGGCGTCCTCCTCGTCATCGTCCATGTCACTACGCGCATAAACCAGCTATCAACCCCAAAAACCAACACCGACAATCATGAGCCGTAACCCTAAAAGGAAACCTCAGTAGTATCGATATGACAATTATGGCTATTAGCAGTAACCCTAAACCCTAAACCCTTACATTGCATCTTCATTATTATGCCCCAAACGCCCGACTTTCTGCTGCTGCGTGCCTGGCACAGTGAAACCTTGCGAGGTCCGCGCTGGTGGCATAGGACGTCGCCGTCCCCCGGACCTGGAGAGCACAAAGTTTGGGGGCCTTGGGGTGATGTGGGGCTTTAGGGTTTAGGCTTTTAGGCTTTGGAGTTTAGGGTTTAGGGTATAGGGTTTGGGGTTTAGGGTTTAGGGGCTGTCAAGACTAGAATAGCGCCTTAGTGCATATCACAGTACACTTCTGCGGTTTATTCATATTCAAGAACTTAAAGGAGGAACATTACTACCTGTACTTATGCCCCTAACCCTAAGCATCAGAGTTCAGGCTTCAAGACTCTCACAACCGAAAGCCAGGGCGCTAAACCCTGAATCATAGGGCTTGAAAGCGTCTTGAGGCATAGGGTTTAGAGGAACTTGTTTTCTTAGCTCCTTTTTATGTCTGTCCAACCATCTTAGCTTACATAGGGGTTACCTTAACCCTGAAGAACCCACCTTTTTAAGGACTTATGTAAGGAAATGATAATAGGGAGCCCGAAAAAGGTAGGTTATTCAGGCCCAAAGTAGGGTTTCAGGCTCAGGGTTTCGGTTTAAACCACCCTCCACAGCCCGGACCTCCACCGCCGATGGCGAAAACAGCGCCATGGCGCTGAAGAGTTGCTTGGTGTAGCCTTGAAGGGATCATTCAGGGTCTTTGGGTTTAGGCTTTAGCGAGTCGGGATTTGGGGTTAGGTTTTGCGGGACTGGCATTTTTGAGTTATCTCTGTGTGTTTTCGTTGCTCCTTGCTGTAGGCTTCATCAGGAGTTGTTGCCGGCTCATTCGATTGATCCTGTAAACAAGGTTTGTGGGTTTGAGGGCTATGGGCGTGGTAAGGCGCGCTGGCACTGCATTCGGGCAACACCCTAACCCATAAATCCTACGCCGCTAAGCTCTAATTCTACCTGGCGCAGAGCACGAGGGCTACTGTCCCGCCGGGCTGGAATCCATCCCTAAACCTGAGCCCAAAACCTTAAACCCTAAACCCCGAGCCCTAAAGCCTGAACCCCTGTTAAAACGCCAGAGATCATCTTCCCTACTCCAAGGTTGGGCTCTAAATTTATGCCCACACCCTTGATCCCAGGCCCCTCTAGCCCGAAAGCCCCAGCACAAACCTGAACGCCTGAACCCTGAATATCTTCAACTCCGAAACCATTCATCTATAGGGGCCTTGATGCATAGAGCAGGGTCTCGGGTATACTCTAGTATAACTATACAGAGACCATACCGACATACTATTAGTAACTAGCAGTTTCTCAGACCCCCCTAATTATATTGAACCCTCAACTGAGAAACTCTCGACGTCAAAACACCGATGCCCGAAAGCTTGCTGCACAGCGACGTCGGCAGGCGTTGCAATGGCAGTAGCAAGCAGACACCGGCGTGCCCCGGATCCGCAGCGCTACGTCGCCGCAGCAGCAGGTTACTTCCACATCCATGCTGCGAGTATTGGCCTTATTGGGGTTTAGGGTCCCTAAACCCTAAACCTTATAGGGTTTGGGGTTTAGTAATTTAGGATATCCTCGTTGTTGTGTGCTTCTGATTCGGCTTCTCGGGCTTTTGCCGCTAGATCCTGCTCGCATGGTTTGAAGAGGTGGGAGGGTCTCCAGCTTTGGGGGAAACCCAAAGCCCTCAAACGCCTGTACGACAAGCCGTAGACCCTATGCCCCTAAACCCTAAACCCCTAAACCCGAAACCCCTAAACCCTAAACCCGAAACCCCTAAACCCTAAACCCCTAAACCCTAAACCCGGAACCCCTAAACCCGAAACCCCTAAACCCCGAAGCACGAACTCGACAGTCAATTCAATTTGGGGCCCTATACTACTAAGGGTACCTTATAGGAACCCTCATTAAGGGATCTACTTTTTGGATCCTCCCGGGCGGCTCCGAGGCTTGCAAAACACTGCCTTTTCTCGCTTGAGCCTGGATCGGAACGCCAGGCTTAGGCTTTAGGCTTTAGGGTTTAGGGGGTTTAGGGTTTAGGGTTTAGGGTTTAGGGTTTAGGGTTTGGGGTTTAGGGTTTAGGGTTTCGGGTTTAGGGTTTAGGATTTAGGCTTGAGGGGTTGGGTTTCAGACTAGGGGTTGCAGATTTTAGGGTCCAGATCTCCGAAGCTCTAGGGGAGGTTCTTCGGGATGCACAGACTTTGTACTTATAGGGGGCTCTATTCGGGTTAGGGTTTTTTCCGGGTTTTGGGTTTAGGGTTTGGGTGGCTTACAAAGGATTCTTTACCAGCTTCGCTGACTATCAAAGCCCTTACAGAACCATGGAATCCTAAAACAAGTTCGAGTAGAGGGCTTCATGTTTTGAGCTTCGGCCCTAAACCACTCAATCCGAAACCCTCAAAGAAACTTGACAGAACCATCACATCCTCAAACCTGAACCTAGGATTGTTTGGGGCTTCAAGACATCACCACCCCACCTCCTGCTCTGTGAGTGTGGACCACATGCGCTTGATGCTGCAGAACTGTCGACCTCCGGCATTGGACAGCATGATTTGACTGGTTATCTGGAGCTTCTACACTATACACGCACTAAGCAACCCTAAGAGAAACAATGTCTTAACGGTTCATGCTCCGATAATCGGGGGCATAATTCCTTTGCTGCTGCCGCCTGGGCACAGAGCCCTTTATCACCTGAAAGGAATACCTGTAGCCGAAAAGACCTACCTCATTAAGGACCTATATATAGAATCCAGAGTAAGGAACCCTAAAACAGTAGGTCTTTTCGGCTACAGGTAGTCCTGATAAGATACCAGGCTTCTAGCCTTGCTTTAGGGGATATTCCGTAAGTAATGAAGTTACGGGTATTGGGCTCTCTGGGAACGCCCCTTGGCGGATCTCATCATGTCCACCCATATCGTCACAAAGCCTCCTCATAACAAATATACTAACCAAATCGTTCTAAACTCTGAACTACTCGACTCTAAAGCATGAACTGAAACCCCAACCCTGAACACAGAATGCTAAACCCGAACTCAACAAGCCGCTGCACTCCTGACCTTCAGAAACGCAAGCCACACCCCGAACCCCCTCGTCGGCCTTAGAAGGGGGATGCCGCATCTCGGATCCAAGACTTGCATCCCGCAGCTTAAAACCCAACACCCATGACCCCGAACCCCAGACCCCGGACCCCGGGTCGTTGCTGACGGGAAGTCTGTGTTCTAGGTGATTTGGGGCCTTTGGGGTTTAGGGTGTTTAGAGGTTGGAGTGTGGGGCTCTCTAACCTGCCCCCCACCCCAATCCTGCAACCCCAGCAGACTGGCGATGAGAGCTTCAAAACTTCGGGAAAGGAAGAAAGAGACTCCGATGTAGTAGGGGAACTAACAAGTGGAATCGGGTTCCTTCTTAAAGGGGTCTGTAAGGGCTACTATAAGGGATCTATAAGGGTACTATACTGTAGGGGCCTTAATGAGCAGAATAGGATTTTGGGCTGCTTTGTAGTCTACGTAGAAAGGAACCGTAAGGAATCATGCTGGCAGTTATTTACGCCTTTATATTGAACAACCCGGATCCTGAGAACCCCATTTCCTCTTCCCACGATCCGGCCTGTTTTGATCATGAGACAATGCTCCTGCGGAGGATAATCAGCTTTTGCGTCGGGTTCCGAACCATTGCGTTTTAGTGCTTTAGGGTTCAGAGTTTTTGGCGCTGGCTCCAGAGTTCAGGAATGGTGTGACAGTGTTGACACACTTTGCGTGGCGTAGCACATGAGGTTTGCAGTTCTGAGGTTTGGATTGGGGGTTTTCGGATTCGAAGGCATGTGGTCATGAATTCTGCCTGGGGTCCTCAACAATAGCCCCTAAGCCCGAAATCCTAAATCCGAAACCCCAAACTCCGAACAATAACCTCTAAAAGTGCTTCGGGACTTTGGGGCTACCGCCAAACCCTGCCAGCCAAGCTTTGGGAAACCTTAGACCCCAGAATACCGAAATCCTGAAACTCTAAACCCTCAAACCCTAAAGCCTAAACCCTAAACCCTAAAGCCTAAGCCTCTAAGCCCTATACCCAAACTTGGGCTCTAAGCTCAACAAACACTGGCCTCAAGAAAGAGCGCCTCGGCTTCGGTAACCTGGGCCGAATCTACATGCAAAACTCCAAGGGTAAAAGGAGGGACCCTTAATAAGGACCCCTAGGTATATACCCTGAATATAGCTATTACATCGCCCAGTATACAGCCCATTATAGGGTAAGCGTCCCCATTAAGGGTCCCTCCTTTTCCCCTTTGAAAAACAATCCCCGAGACCTGCTCCCTCTATGCACCGGTTTTGGGCTTGCCGGGTTTGGGGTTTAGGGTTCAATTTGGGGTTCAGGGTAGGGGGTTTGGATTTAGGGGTTTAGGGTTTAGGGGTTTAGGGTTCAATCCTTCAGGGTTTAGGGTTTATGGGGTTAGGGTTGAGGGTTAACAAGTTCAGGGCTGGGGGTTAAGGGCTCAGGGTTGAGGGGTCAGGGCGTAAGTTCAGCGTTTTAGGGCCACATCCTCAGATGTTACAAACCGTCGGAAATCTTGGGGAGCTGGGACAGGGAGGGAATTCAGGGTCGAGGGTGTATGGGTTTGGGGTTGAGGGTACGGAAAGTTTAACACTTAATCTAAAATTTAGTGGCATTCAGGTCACGGAAGTTTAGGGTCTATAGCTTGGCGCTGTCTTCAACTGAAAAGGACATATTACCGTAGGGTTTAGGGTAGCGGCTCGACGGTTTTAGGTGCAGGGTTGCAGGATGCCAGACTTTGAAGGGAGGGCATGAGTAGGATTTCGGGTTCAGGGTCCCCAGAGACTCCAATATCCCTTAATTAAGGGAATATACCTTAAATCATATGAAGGAACCTACTATAATTTAAGGTATATTCCTTAATTAAGGGATATTGGAGTCTCTGGGTCTAGGGTATCGTAGGGATTGATGGGCTTTGCGGGTCTGTGCCCTAAACCCTCAGCCCTCCATTCCAAGTCGGCAACCTCAGCTGGTCTCGGCAGCAGGTAATCGTACGATGCCTCCCGAAGAGATGCTCACGAGTGGGTCTAAGGAGCTTTGTCCGTTTCGGGCTTTAGGTGCAGGGCCTCGGGAGTGTTGGATTTGGCTCTCGGAAATCCAAAGTTTGGGATGTGTCCACGGCTTTTCGAGAAGCGGCAGCAAATCGACATATGTAGTAAAAAGCCGAAAACTGAGAACCAGAACCCCAAACAGCAAAACCCAAATCAACTGGCTTCAGACCCGGACACAGGCGGTTTAGATAAGGCCCCATGCAACTATAAACGAGACTAGATAAGTCTGCATGCATGCTTTGGTATGAACATGCATATAAACATATGCACAGTAACAATAATAATAATACTAGTTACATGAACCACAGTCATAAACAGTGATACGAAATAAGCAGCAATAAACAATCAGGTCACAAGCAAAACAACGAAACAATGAAAACATAGAGGTGAAAAGTGATTTAAAAAACTAAACCCTAAACCCAAACCCCTAAACCCCAATACTACAAACTCTCCCTGTGCTGCCACGGCCTCCTGCGGCCGCCTCTCCTCCAGTCTCTGGGTCGCCTCTTCCACGGTGGGTGGGCCGCTTCCTGGGGGCGCTTGATTGAAGGGCTTCCTAAAGTTTAGGGTTTAGGGCTGAGGACTTAGGGTTTAGGGTTGAGGGCTTAGGGTTTAGGGTTTGGGGAAGTTTCGGGTTAATTGGTCTCGAGTTTTGCGGTGGCTTGGGCTTTGGGCCTTGGGGTTAAAGGTTGAGCTTTGTTCAGAGTTCGTTGGCTGAGGGTTGAGATTCTAGGGTCGCCACAAGCAACTTACGATTCATTTTGCAGCAGGAAACCTTCGTTCGTCTTGTCGAAGCTCCCCAAATACTTTTGGGCCTGAATAGTTAGAAGAGGGTTTTGGGGCCAGTTCTGGGGTACATAAACCTCTAATTATAATCAGAAGCCGCAAAATAATGCATAGGTAATCATTGGGTTATTAGGGCCCTTATAGTATCCTTCAGGGTTGAACTGTGCAGACCTGCAGACTCAGGTGCTGCACTGCGGCTGGACATGCCGGATTAAGGCTTTAAGGTTTCAGTGCTCAGACTTTGTGCTGAGGTGTTTTGGAGTTGCTGCTTCTGGACCTGCTTGAGCTTTAGGCTTCTCATCAGGGACTCATGTTTGGGGACATTGACGGCTTCGGGTTTCGGCTGGGGCCTAGACCCCAGATTCTTTCAAGCTTCGGGGCTGACTCAGAGCCGAAAACTGAAACCCAAAATCCGCCCAAACCCCTACACTTCAGACCTAGAGTGTGACCCTCTAAAGCGGTGAGCCTACAAAGCAAACCCTAAACTCGAAATCCTATGGCCCGACTTCACGAACACCCATAAGCATGTCAGGTGCATTGGGGGCTTAGGGCTTTTAGGGCTTAAGATTCAGGGCAGAGCCCTAGACCCGAAACCACAACTACCCCAAACCC